CCGTGGTTGATTTACTTCGCCGTGCTTGATTTACTTCGCCGTGCTTGGTTTATTTCTCCGTGCTTGGTTTACTTCTCCGTGCTTGGTTTACTTCGCCGTGCTTGGTTTACTTCTCCGTGCTTGGTTTACTTCTCCGTGCTTGATTTACTTCTCCGTGCTTGATTTACTTCTCCGTGCTTGATTCACTTCTCCGTGCTTGATTCACTTCTCCGTGCTTGATTTACTTCTCCGTGCTTGATTTACTTCTCCGTGCTTGATTTACTTCTCCGTGCTTGATTTACTTCTCCGTGCTTGATTTACTTCTCCGTGCTTGATTTACTTCTCCGTGCTTGATTTACTTCTCCCTGCTTGATTTACTTCTCCCTGCTTGATTTACTTCTCCGTGCTTGATTTACTTCTCCGTGCTTGATTTACTTCTCCGTGCTTGATTTACTTCTCCGTGCTTGATTTACTTCTCCGTGCTTGATTTACTTCTCCGTGCTTGGTTTACTTCTCCGTGCTTGGTTTACTTCTCCGTGCTTGGTTTACTTCGCCGTGCTTGGTTTACTTCTCCGTGCTTGGTTTACTTCGCCGTGCTTGGTTTACTTCTCCGTGCTTGGTTTACTTCTCCGTGCTTGATTTACTTCTCCGTGCTTGATTTACTTCTCCGTGCTTGATTTACTTCTCCGTGCTTGATTTACTTCTCCGTGCTTGGTTTACTTCTCCGTGCTTGGTTTACTTCTCCGTGCTTGATTTACTTCTCCGTGCTTGATTTACTTCGCCGTGCTTGATTTACTTCGCCGTGCTTGGTTTACTTCTCCGTGCTTGGTTTACTTCTCCGTGCTTGGTTTACTTCTCCGTGCTTGGTTTACTTCTCCGTGCTTGGTTTACTTCTCCGTGCTTGGTTTACTTCTCCGTGCTTGGTTTACTTCTCCGTGCTTGGTTTACTTCTCCGTGCTTGGTTTACTTCTCCGTGCTTGATTTACTTCTCCGTGCTTGATTTACTTCGCCGTGCTTGATTTACTTCGCCGTGCTTGGTTTACTTCTCCGTGCTTGGTTTACTTCTCCGTGCTTGGTTTACTTCGCCGTGCTTGGTTTACTTCTCCGTGCTTGGTTTACTTCTCCGTGCTTGATTTACTTCTCCGTGCTTGATTTACTTCTCCGTGCTTGATTCACTTCTCCGTGCTTGATTTACTTCTCCGTGCTTGATTTACTTCTCCGTGCTTGATTTACTTCTCCGTGCTTGATTTACTTCTCCGTGCTTGATTTACTTCTCCGTGCTTGATTTACTTCTCCCTGCTTGATTTACTTCTCCCTGCTTGATTTACTTCTCCGTGCTTGATTTACTTCTCCGTGCTTGATTTACTTCTCCGTGCTTGATTTACTTCTCCGTGCTTGATTTACTTCTCCGTGCTTGATTTACTTCTCCGTGCTTGGTTTACTTCTCCGTGCTTGGTTTACTTCTCCGTGCTTGGTTTACTTCGCCGTGCTTGGTTTACTTCTCCGTGCTTGGTTTACTTCGCCGTGCTTGGTTTACTTCTCCGTGCTTGGTTTACTTCTCCGTGCTTGATTTACTTCTCCGTGCTTGATTTACTTCTCCGTGCTTGATTTACTTCTCCGTGCTTGATTTACTTCTCCGTGCTTGGTTTACTTCTCCGTGCTTGGTTTACTTCTCCGTGCTTGATTTACTTCTCCGTGCTTGATTTACTTCGCCGTGCTTGATTTACTTCGCCGTGCTTGGTTTACTTCTCCGTGCTTGGTTTACCTCTCCGTGCTTGGTTTACTTCTCCGTGCTTGGTTTACTTCTCCGTGCTTGGTTTACTTCTCCGTGCTTGGTTTACTTCTCCGTGCTTGGTTTACTTCTCCGTGCTTGGTTTACTTCTCCGTGCTTGGTTTACTTCTCCGTGCTTGATTTACTTCTCCGTGCTTGATTTACTTCGCCGTGCTTGATTTACTTCGCCGTGCTTGGTTTACTTCTCCGTGCTTGGTTTACTTCTCCGTGCTTGGTTTACTTCGCCGTGCTTGGTTTACTTCTCCGTGCTTGGTTTACTTCTCCGTGCTTGATTTACTTCTCCGTGCTTGATTTACTTCTCCGTGCTTGATTCACTTCTCCGTGCTTGATTTACTTCTCCGTGCTTGATTTACTTCTCCGTGCTTGATTTACTTCTCCGTGCTTGATTTACTTCTCCGTGCTTGATTTACTTCTCCGTGCTTGATTTACTTCTCCGTGCTTGATTTACTTCTCCGTGCTTGATTTACTTCTCCGTGCTTGATTTACTTCTCCGTTCTTGATTTACTTCTCCGTTCTTGATTTACTTCTCCGTGCTTGATTTACTTCTCCGTGCTTGATTTACTTCTCCGTGCTTGATTTACTTCTCCGTGCTTGATTTACTTCTCCGTGCTTGATTTACTTCTCCGTGCTTGATTTACTTCTCCGTGCTTGATTTACTTCTCCGTGCTTGATTTACTTCTCCGTTCTTGATTTACTTCTCCGTTCTTGATTTACTTCTCCGTGCTTGATTTACTTCTCCGTGCTTGATTTACTTCGCCGTGCTTGATTTACTTCGCCGTGCTTGATTTACTTCGCCGTGCTTGGTTTACTTCTCCGTGCTTGGTTTACTTCTCCGTGCTTGGTTTACTTCTCCGTGCTTGGTTTACTTCGCCGTGCTTGATTTACTTCGCCGTGCTTGATTTACTTCTCCGTGCTTGGTTTACTTCGCCGTGCTTGGTTTACTTCTCCGTGCTTGGTTTACTTCTCCGTGCTTGATTTACTTCTCCGTGCTTGATTTACTTCTCCGTGCTTGATTTACTTCTCCGTGCTTGATTTACTTCTCCGTGCTTGATTTACTTCTCCGTGCTTGATTTACTTCTTCGTGCTTGATTTACTTCTTCGTGCTTGATTTACTTCTCCGTGCTTGATTTACTTCTCCGTGCTTGATTTACTTCTCCGTGCTTGATTTACTTCTCCGTGCTTGATTTACTTCTCCGTGCTTGATTTACTTCTCCGTGCTTGATTTACTTCTCCGTGCTTGATTTACTTCTCCGTGCTTGATTTACTTCTCCGTGCTTGATTTACTTCTCCGTGCTTGATTTACTTCTCCGTGCTTGATTTACTTCGCCGTGCTTGATTTACTTCTCCGTGCTTGATTTACTTCTCCGTGCTTGGTTTACTTCGCCGTGCTTGATTTACTTCGCCGTGCTTGATTTACTTCGCCGTGCTTGATTTACTTCTCCGTGCTTGATTTACTTCTCCGTGCTTGGTTTACTTCTCCGTGCTTGGTTTACTTCTCCGTGCTTGATTTACTTCTCCGTGCTTGATTTACTTCTCCGTGCTTGAATTACTTCTCCGTGCTTGATTTACTTCTCCGTGCTTGGTTTACTTCTCCGTGCTTGGTTTACTTCTCCGTGCTTGATTTACTTCTCCGTGCTTGATTTACTTCGCCGTGCTTGATTTACTTCGCCGTGCTTGGTTTACTTCTCCGTGCTTGGTTTACTTCTCCGTGCTTGGTTTACTTCTCCGTGCTTGGTTTACTTCTCCGTGCTTGGTTTACTTCTCCGTGCTTGGTGTACTTCTCCGTGCTTGGTTTACTTCTCCGTGCTTGGTTTACTTCTCCGTGCTTGGTTTACTTCTCCGTGCTTGATTTACTTCTCCGTGCTTGATTTACTTCGCCGTGCTTGATTTACTTCGCCGTGCTTGGTTTACTTCTCCGTGCTTGGTTTACTTCTCCGTGCTTGGTTTACTTCGCCGTGCTTGGTTTACTTCTCCGTGCTTGGTTTACTTCGCCGTGCTTGGTTTACTTCTCCGTGCTTGGTTTACTTCTCCGTGCTTGGTTTACTTCTCCGTGCTTGGTTTACTTCTCCGTGCTTGGTTTACTTCGCCGTGCTTGGTTTACTTCTCCGTGCTTGATTTACTTCTCCGTGCTTGATTTACTTCGCCGTGCTTGATTTGCTTCGCCGTGCTTGATTTACTTCGCCGTGCTTGGTTTACTTCGCCGTGCTTGGTTTACTTCTCCGTGCTTGGTTTACTTCTCCGAGCTTGGTTTACTTCTCCGTGCTTGGTTTACTTCTCCGTGCTTGGTTTACTTCTCCGTGCTTGATTTACTTCTCCGTGCTTGATTTACTTCGCCGTGCTTGATTTACTTCGCCGTGCTTGATTTACTTCTCCGTGCTTGATTTACTTCTCCGTGCTTGATTTACTTCTCCGTTCTTGATTTACTTCTCCGTTCTTGATTTACTTCTCCGTGCTTGGTTTACTTCTCCGTGCTTGGTTTACTTCGCCGTGCTTGGTTTACTTCTCCGTGCTTGGTTTACTTCGCCGTGCTTGGTTTACTTCTCCGTGCTTGGTTTACTTCTCCGTGCTTGGTTTACTTCTCCGTGCTTGGTTTACTTCTCCGTGCTTGGTTTACTTCGCCGTGCTTGGTTTACTTCTCCGTGCTTGGTTTACTTCTCCGTGCTTGATTTACTTCTCCGTGCTTGATTTACTTCGCCGTGCTTGATTTACTTCGCCGTGCTTGGTTTACTTCTCCGTGCTTGGTTTACTTCTCCGTGCTTGGTTTACTTCGCCGTGCTTGGTTTACTTCTCCATGCTTGGTTTACTTCGCCGTGCTTGGTTTACTTCTCCGTGCTTGGTTTACTTCTCCGTGCTTGGTTTACTTCTCCGTGCTTGGTTTACTTCGCCGTGCTTGGTTTACTTCGCCGTGCTTGGTTTACTTCGCCGTGCTTGGTTTACTTCTCCGTGCTTGGTTTACTTCTCCGTGCTTGGTTTACTTCGCCGTGCTTGGTTTACTTCGCCGTGCTTGGTTTACTTCGCCGTGCTTGATTTACTTCTCCGTGCTTGGTTTACTTCGCCGTGCTTGGTTTACTTCGCCGTGCTTGATTCACTTCGCCGTGCTTGGTTGAAGGCTACTAATCTGGAACGCAATGATCACCAGTTAACGCAGAATCAGAACACACACCTTCTTCCACACTTTTTTCACAGCTGTTTCCCACCTTTTTTTTTCACACCTTTTGTTTGATTTGCGATGCATTCTCTTGATTCGCTGGTGTGCCCTCCAAGCAGCGATGAGCAGTACATGCAGTATCAGACGAACTCAGAGCTCTCCTATACGTGCCCTGCCTGCCTGGGCCATGCTCCTTGTGTGAGTTCCATTGCCCTCTCACTTGCATTGCCCTGTGACTTGCATTGCCCTGTCACTTGCATTGCCCTGTGACTTGCATTGCCCTGTCACTTGCATTGCCTTCTCACTTGCATTGCCCTGTCACTTGCATTGCGTTGCTGCGCCCTTGTATTGCTCCTCCTTTGCTCTATCAAGTGCTGCCTTGAAACGTCAACTTGTGGTGTTGTGTGCCTTTCTTTGTCCCTCATCACGGGTCGCAACGGCAGCAGGGGCCACTTAGGCGAGTTTTTAGGCGCCCACATACCTCCAAAGAGGAGCACTGGTATTGATTCAAAGCAGAAAGAGTGCAGCCTCTGAAGTTGTTGTGTAACATTGGTATTGTCTTTCTCTTTCCCTCACCACAGGTTGTAACGGCAGCAGAGGCCTTTCAAAAGCTCTGGTCCTGTGGTGGAAGAGTGCCGACTTTTCAAGTTGTCGTGTGGCTTGGCATGTCTTTCTCTCTCCCTTTTGCAGGTTGCAACAGCAGCAGAGGCCACTCAAGAGCTCTGGTCTCGATTCAAACGCCGTGTGGAGCAAAGCAAGGGAGGAGCAAAGGCAGGCGGGGAGGGGGCAGCAGAGGAGGCGGAGGAAAGCACTTGGTCGAGAAAGAGGGGGCAGCGAAAGAGGGGAATGGCTTTGCTTCATGCGAGGGAGGAGCAGCAGGAAGGGGACGCGGAGCGGGAGGGGAGAGGAGAGTGGGAAGGTGGAGGTGGTGAGGGGAGAGGGGATGGGCAAGAGGGCGTTGACCAGGAGGAGGAGGAGCAGAGGGAAAAGGCTCCTCCTCCGTTTTCAGAGAGTGAGGGAGAGGAGAGTGGGGGGGAACGGGGAGGAGGATTGGGTGGTGGTGATGGTGTTGGTAGGAAGGGAAGGAGGGTGGGGGTGGGGTATGTTGCAGGATCTGTTGGAAAGGAGAAAGGGGGAGGAGAAGAGGGCTTAGGAAAGAGGAAGAGGAGGAAGGTGGTAGGGGAGGAGGAGGTGGGGGAAGGGGAGGGGGGAGGGGAGAGGAAGAGGAGGAGATGGAAGAGTGGCAAAGAAGAGGAGGAGGCAAAGTTGGTTGATGGGGAGGAGGGGGGTGAGGGAAGAGGGGAGGAGGGGATTCGAGTGAGGATAAGGCTGAATAGGAAGAGAGGGGAAGGTGCAAGGGTGGAGGAGCAGGCGGGGCGACATGAGGGGGAAAGTAGGGGTGAGGGGAGGGAGAGGAGGAAGAGGAAGGGAGAGCACGAGGAAGCAAAAGAATGGGGCGAAAAGGGGGAGAAGGATGGTTCGGGAAGGGAGGAGAAAAGAAACGATGAGAGAAGTATGAAGGAACGAGATTCAGCAGAAAAGGCTAAGGAGTTGGGCGAGAGGAAAGGAGGGGAAGCAGGAGAGGGTGAAGATTTCCATGAAGAGGTGACGCACACCAAGAGGAGGAGGAAGGGAGGGAAGGAGGAGAAGGGGAGGGAAGGGGGCAAGGGAAGGCAGAGGAGGGAGAGAGAGGAGGTGGACAAGGCAAGGAGAGGAAAGAGTGGTGTGAGTGGTGTGACGCAAAAGGGGGTTGAGGAGAGGAGTGAGGGAGGCTTGCAAGAAGAGGGTGATCAGGGGAGGGGCGAGGGTGTGGATGGTTTGACCAAGGAGGGTGGAGCACAAAAAGTTGAGGGGCATAGGAAAAGGCATCGGGAGGTGCAGAGGGAAGCAGAGGAGGAAAAGTGTAAGGATAACAATGGAGACAGGGGAAAGGAGGTGGATGGTGAGGGGAAGGAGCAAGCTGGGGAGAAACATGGGGAGGAAAAAGTGGGGGCGGAGGAAGGGGTAACAAAGGAGAGAAGGAAGGAAGATAAGGAAGTAAAGCAGACGCATGGGAGTGGTGTTAGTACGGAGGGTCTGGGCCTTGAAGCGCCTCAACAGCTGTCTCAGGAAGACAAACAAACGCATGGGGGTGGCAGTATAGGGGGTTTGGCGGGCTTGGATGTTCTTATTGGGGGGGCGGGCAGGGGGGGGGCTGCAGGTAGCAATAGCGGGAGGGGGAGGGGCGAAGGAGGGAGGAGTGTTGGGGAAGGTGTGGAAGGGAAAGAGGATGGGAAGGGGGGTGGGAAGGGGGATAGCGTGGGAGATGGGGAGGGGAAGAGGGGGGACAGTGGGGATGGAGATGGGGAGGGGGGCGGCCGGCAAGGATGGGTCCAAAAGGAGGCCTTGGGATGCCTCTGTCACGGCTGGCAGGCAGGAGGCAGACAGCAGGCAGCAGCTAGAAGCAGCTGCGGTCGGTGCTTCTGAAAGTGCTGCTGGCACTGGTGGTGGTGGTGGTGGTGGTGGTGGTGGTGGTGGTGGTGGTGGTGGTGGTGGTGGTGGTGGTGGTGGTGGTGGTGGTGGTGGTGGTGGTGGTGGTGGTGGTGGTGGTGGTGGTGGTGGTGGTGGTGGTGGTGGTGGTGGTGGTGGTGGTGGTGGTGGTGGTGGTGGTGGTGGTGGTGGTGGTGGTGGTGGTGGTGGTGGTGGTGGTGGTGGTGGTGGTGGTGGTGGTGGTGGTGGTGGTGGTGGTGGTGGTGGTGGTGGTGGTGGTGGTGGTGGTGGTGGTGGTGGTGGTGGTGGTGGTGGTGGTGGTGGTGGTGGTGGTGGTGGTGGTGGTGGTGGTGGTGGTGGTGGTGGTGGTGGTGGTGGTGGTGGTGGTGGTGGTGGTGGTGGTGGTGGTGGTGGTGGTGGTGGTGGTGGTGGTGGTGGTGGTGGTGGTGGTGGTGGTGGTGGTGGTGGTGGTGGTGGTGGTGGTGGTGGTGGTGGTGGTGGTGGTGGTGGTGGTGGTGGTGGTGGTGGTGGTGGTGGTGGTGGTGTGGTGGTGGTGGTGGTGGTGGTGGTGGTGGTGGTGGTGGTGGTGGTGGTGGTGGTGGTGGTGGTGGTGGTGGTGGTGGTGGTGGTGGTGGTGGTGGTGGTGGTGGTGGTGGTGGTGGTGGTGGGTGGTGGTGGTGGTGGTGGTGGTGGTGGTGGTGGTGGTGGTGGTGGTGGTGGTGGTGGTGGTGGTGGTGGTGGTGGTGGTGGTGGTGGTGGTGGTGGTGGTGGTGGTGGTGGTGGTGGTGGTGGTGGTGGTGGTGGTGGTGGTGGTGGTGGTGGTGGTGGTGGTGGTGGTGGTGGTGGTGGTGGTGGTGGTGGTGGTGGTGGTGGTGGTGGTGGTGGTGGTGGTGGTGGTGGTGGTGGTGGTGGTGGTGGTGGTGGTGGTGGTGGTGGTGGTGGTGGTGGTGGTGGTGGTGGTGGTGGTGGTGGTGGTGGTGGTGGTGGTGGTGGTGGTGGTGGTGGTGGTGGTGGTGGTGGTGGTGGTGGTGGTGGTGGTGGTGGTGGTGGTGGTGGTGGTGGTGGTGGTGGTGGTGGTGGTGGTGGTGGTGGTGGTGGTGGTGGTGATGGTTCTGCTGGTGTTGGCGGTGCTAGTGTTGCTGGTTCTGGCGGCTCTCCTGGTGGTGGTGGTGCTGGTGATGGAGGCGTGAGGGGGTTGAAGCTCATGATTCGCAAGTCGCATGGGGGAGGAATGGGAGGGAAAGGCAGGGATGAAGACAACAGACAACCGGGTAGTACTTGATGGGGTTGAGTGACTTTGACATACGGTACTGACCGAGTTGGCAGAATGTGAGATGGGGAGTATTGCAATTGCACCTCAACATAAATATCCTCGCCGCCTAGTCTTTATGGTACCGGTATGCTTGGTTTCACTAGTTTCTCCTCTTCATGGAACTGCCCTTACCAAGCCTAGAGGGTGGTCAAATCTGTTGGGTTGCTCCAATAAACATATGTAGTGGTAGATTTACACTGCTGTAGGGTAGAATACATTGGTTGGGTTGGGAGAACTTGTGCTGTACACTCTTTAGAATGGATCACTTCCCAAACCGTATAAGTTAGGGTTCTCTCTTGTTGGAACTTCACTTCTTGGATATCACTTTTGTTCTAGCATGGTTCATGTCCAAGTTGGGTGCTAAAATTCCTAGGCTTTAGGAGATTCTAAGATTACTATAGCTTCCGCTAGTAGCTTAGACCATTCTAATAAAATCAAATGACACTCTTGCATTCCTCGGTGTACATCTCTTAGCCAAGCCAGGTTGTGCTGTACTGGGTGTGGGTCACTATTTGTAACCCCCCTCTGGCCTGCAAGTTCATTCTGGTCATTCCTGTTTGTTTCTATTTCTGCCAACCGACTCAACCCTGAACTGCATCACACTGCCGAATGCTGCCAGGCGCTGGGATGGGAGGCCATTGCAGGAGGCAGGGAGGATGGATGCCGTATGAGGGGCCTGGGTGCCGCCATCTACCGGTAGTATCTCAGCACTAGTTTGCCAATGCTAGTATGTTGGCTCTGGTCTGCCGTGAATTTTAAACTCCTGCCAGCGCATTTCCCGTTCTTGGCAATGCTCAGAGCACCAACACATACACGGAAGAACACGGAAATTATACCCCAGAGCACTGGCACTGCTACTGAGACCGAGCATCAGCGCCTCCCCTAGCTGCCTCCAGGGCGAGCAGCAGTGAGGCCAGGCGCCCCACAACCTCCTGCTCATACTCCGCCTCGTCCCCCCCCCCGCTGCACCTCCCCCACATGCGCCTGCAGCGCGGCCCTCACGCGCTCCACTGCCAGCTCGGGGCGGCAGCATGCAAGCAGCACTCGGCGCGTGGCGGGGGAGGCGGCCAGCAGGCTGTGCAGCGCTGCTGCTGCCTGTGCGGGTGGGGGGAGGGGAGAGTGGAGAGAGCAGGTGGGCGCAGGTGGGAATGAGTGCATATTGAAGCAAGCAGACATGGAAGAAGGTGACAAATGCAACCCGCCACCCAAAAGAACAGAACAAAACAAAAGCACAAAGAGTTTTTTGCGCGTGAATGCATCGAGCATGTGCTAAAGCACCATGCACCCCGCGTACCTTATCCAGCATGTCCAGGTCCCACCTTATCCACCATGTCCAGGTCCCACCTTATCCACCATGTCCAGGTCCCACCTTATCCACCATGTCCAGGTCCCACCTTATCCACCATGTCCAGGTCCCACCTTATCCACCATGTCCAGGTCCCTGTCGGAGTACTCACTTATCCTTGCCAGCACTGCGTGGTTACCTTCTCTGCTCTCACCCCATCCTCCTCTTGTCCCTTTTCCTTCCGTGATTGCCCTTACTCAGTCCTCTCCTGCCTCAGCCACTCCCAGAGAAGTCCCGACTCCCACACAATGGCTACCCCGAGTGGCCTTGTCACCTAGCAGCAGTAGCTTAGAACGGTAACTTGCATCCACTATAACAGGTAGACAAACGAGAGAACAAGTCTGGCTCTGCTAGGCTAGAGTACTAGTACTTGCTTTCCCTGTCGCGAATTATTCAGGGGCTGGGCTTGCACTGGAGTCGCCTGGGCTCTGGTTGGCCCTCGCCGATTTCCTGTCTCCCTAGGCCTCAAATTCTCCCAACATGCGCTTCGCAATCTTCTGAGTCATCAACTTCGCGTGATTCCCCAAGTCCTCAACTACCACTCCAATACCCTGCATAACAACTTGTACACCACCTACACCCCACATAGCTCTGAACGAAATATGCTGCAACTTACCAATATGTTTCGTGACAGCTGTCGGAGTACTCACTTATCCTTGCCAGCACTGCGTGGTTACCTTCTCTGCTCTCAACCCATCCTCCTCTTGTCCCTTTTCCTTCCGTGATTGCCCTTACTCAGTCCTCTCCTGCCTCAGCCACTCCCTGCCCCCTCCTGTGCCCGTGCGCGGGCTGCCCGTGCACGTGTCACAGGACCCACTTGCTGAGGTCTCTGTCCTTTCACCACAGCTGCGTTCGTCTGGTGATCAACTGTCCTTTCCCTCTCTTCGTTCTCCAGCACCAACACCCCCGATCCCCTGATCTCCTTCACCTTCCACCGCTCAGTTCCTAACCCCACATCCAGTGTATCCTTCCTGGCCCTTCGCAGGTACACCTCCTGGCCCTCCGCTGCTGCTGCTTTACTCTTTCTGCCTCCCTGCTGCTGCCTCTGTTCATATCTGCGTGCGTCCCTGAGCTGCGCTGTGTGCAGGTTTTCCAAGGCCGCCGGCAGCATCTCCCTCATGTACCTCGCCCTGGCTTCTGCTAATGCCACCCACTTTTCTGCTCCCTCCACCGATACAGTGTCAGTCAGCACCCGTGGGGCTCCCACTGGCAGAATTGGTTCTCTTCCAAACAGCAGGCTGTATGGCGAATGATCCTTCAATGACGCCTGCTTCCCGAATCGGTACCCGGCTGCAATCCAGTGCAGCTCCTCGTCCCAGTTCCTCTTCCGCTGTTCCCCGTACGCCCTTAGGTTGCGCTTTAGGGTCTGCACCAATCGTTCTGTCAAACCATCGCTCTGAGGGTGGTACCTTGACGTTAGTCGGTGAGTGATCCCTGTCTCGTCCAGCAGCGCCTGAAACTCTCCCCTAAACTCGGTTCCCTGATCGGTTAACACCTCTCCCGGCGCCCCAAACCTGCACAACACCTGCTCCTTAAAAGCCTTGGCCACATGCCTGGAGTCTTTACTCGGTATGGCCCACACCTCAAGCCACTTGCTAGCGTGCTCTACCATGAGCAGGATGTACCGTTGCCCTCCCCTGCTCAGCGGCAATTCTCCTGCCAGGTCTAACGACCACCTAAACCCCAGCCCTCTAATCGGCAGCGACTGTAGCTCCTGTTTTGCTTGCATTAGACTCGCCTTGCTTCGCTGGCATCCCGCGCATCCGCTTACCCACTCCTTCACCTGCTTTCGCATCCCATCCCACCACCATCCTGTCTTCAGCAGTTGCATCGTTCGCTCGTGACCGAAGTGTCCTAACTTTTTGTGCACCTCCTCAATTACCCCCTCCCTCTCCCCAGGTGCTGGCACCAATTTCCAGCCGTCTTCTGACTGCAGTTGCAGCTGCCCCTGGTACCACCGATAGTGGTTTCCCCGTGCCCTTGCACGTTCGGGCACCTGCTCATCCCCCTCTGTTTCTCCCTTAATCCACCTCAACGCCTCAGCGTCTTCCCATATATCCCGTGGTCCCTGCTGCTTCCCTGCCGCCTCTTTCTCCCCTTGCCTAGCCAGCATCATCAGCACCTGTACCGGCTCTGGTGGTGGTGGGTTCCTTGAGAGCCCGTCAACGTGCTGCAGTGTCTTCCCCGTCCTGTGCCGTATCTTGAAATCGTATTCCTGCAGTGTGACTGCCCACCGCGCATTCCTCCCTGTCAGTCCTTGGTGGGTCATCAACCACTGCAGCGGCTGGTGGTCTGTTATGAGCGTGAACTCCCTCCCCTGCAAGTATACTCTGAAGTGTTTCACTGCCCACACGGCTGCTAGCCCTTCCCCATGGTATGAGCTGTACTTTGCTTCCGCGGGGTTGCAGCTCCTGCTCGCATATGCCACCACCCTTTCCTCCCCATCTATCTCCTGGCAGAGTATAGCGCCCATGCCCTGGCTGCTCCAGTCGGTATAGAGGCAGAAGGGCTTGTCAGCCTTTGGCAGCTGCAGTATTGTCGCCGTCTGCACCGCCTCCATCAAGTCCTTTAACGCTGCCACCTGGTCTGTCCCCCACTCCCACTTTCTGTCCTCCTTCAGCAGTCCGTTCAGCGCTGTCGCTCGCTTGCTGAAGTTCGGGACAAACCTGCGGTAGTAACTCAGAAATCCCAGCACTGCCCTTAGTCCGCTCCTGTCCTTCGGCTGCTGCAGCCTAGTCAGCACCTCAATCTTTGCCTGCTGAATCCCTATCTGCCCTCCCCTGACCTCGTACCCCAGGTACTGTACGGTTGCCTCTCCCCATCTGCATTTCTTCGGGTGGCAGGTCAGCCCTGCATCCGCCAACGCCTTCAGTGTCCGCTCCACATCCCTCACATGCTCTTCTTCGCTCTTGCTGAAGATTACTACGTCGTCTATGTAACACGCCGCACAGTCTAGTCCCCTCAAGACGCTATCCATCACTCTCTGAAAGATGGCTGACGCGTTCCGCAGCCCGAATGGCATGAACAGCCATTCATACAGCCCGTCTGCCCCATGAAATGCCGTCTTCCGCACGTCCTCCTTCCTGATCCGAATCTGGTTGAACCCCTGCCTTAAATCTAGCGTGCTGAAAATCTCTCCTGCCCCCAGTCGGTCAAAAATATCTTCAGCCGTTGGCATGGGGTACCTGTCGGGCACTGTCACCTTGTTCAGTGCTCGGTAGTCCCCACACATCCGTCTGCTCAGCACTTCCCCCAGCAGATCCTTCCGTGCTGCTACAACTGTTGGTGTTGCGTACTCGGACTCCGATCGTTGTATCAGTCCCGCTTCTAACAGCTCCTTACATTTTTCCTTGCAAATGTCCTCGTCTGCTGGTGTCATTCTCCGCTTCCTCTGAAATACTGGCTCATCTGTGACCAGCTTCAGCTCCATCTCCTTCACCGAACACTTACCCAGCTCCTGTAGGGTGAACGCGAAGGCATGCCTGTACCTGGCCAGCACCTCCTGCATTGCCTCCTTTCCCTTCTCACTCATGGCATTCCCCACCACCCATGCTGGCTCTTCCTTGGCTGCCGTGCACACCCATGCCCCCACCTTTTTCATCCCTCCTCCCTCAGTCTCCCGTTCCTGCTCCTCTCCCATGACCAACCCTCTCCACATTCGCCGCACAAGCCACTGCATGACCTGACCGTCCATGGCCTGCCCCAGTGCTTTCCGTCGTTCCTGTTCTGTCACCCCTGCTGCATCGGTTATCCCTTCTCCATACCCCATCGCTAGTTCCCGTTCCAGCGCGGTAGGTTCCTCCCATCTCTTCGTCCTGTGATCATACACCATGCCTTCTCCTGGCAGCCCATCCTCCTCCCTAAAACCGGCTGCCCATTTGTATCCCACTAGTGTCGGCCATGCCCTGCGCTCTGCCCCCACTTTGTTGCATGGGCACTGCGTCTCATGTCTGCCCTTTCTGACTGGTGCCGCTGCCCTGCCCGGCTCCAGGATCTCCTGCACAGTCCTGCTCCAATCCCTCCGTATCCCGTCCAGCTCCTGCTGCAATTGCTCTTCCGTCACGACGTTCTGCCAGTAGCGTCTGACTCGGTGAGCTCGTGCCCCTAGCCTGGCTGCGTCACACCTCACTCCCTTCCCCAGCTTCCTTGTTACCAACTCTCGTACTTTCCTCACTGGTTCTCTGCAGTCCCCTTCCAGGTCCACATGCTCCAGCAGGTACACCAGCTTCTCTTGTCTTTCCTTGATCCAGTCGATGATGCAAAGCAAGTTGACCAGCAGTGCTCCCCTTGGATCTCCTAATCCCCGCTCTTGATACTGCTTGGCACTCCCACCCTGCTACCAGCAGGTCCACGTGCCCCCAGCCCCTCACCACTTCCCTTGTGATGTTCTTCACATCTGTCAATGTCCCCTGCATTGCCTTGATTACCACTTCTTCGTCCAGCAGCTCAGGATACTCTCTCTGCAGCTTCCTCGCATGGTGCTCGGCCATCTTCCTTACCTTCTCATTTTTCTCAACGTAGATTCACTCCTTCACGGCTATCCCTGCCCTGAGCACCGCCGCCAATCCCGCTCCTATGCCCCCGAACAGTTCTACCAGTCTGATTGGTTCCTGCCACGCGTTGGTCTCTGCTGCCTTGCCCACCAATCCCGCCTTCCCTCTGTCTCTATTTCCCGCCTGTTCGGCCGTATACGCCCTTCTTGGCTCCTGCCTGATGAATTGGACAGGCAGCTCTCCCGTTCTGCTTCCCCGCTTCCAGTACTGCTTCCGAAACTTCACCTTTTCCTTCCATGTGCAGATGGTCATTCCCACGCCCCAGATCAGGTCCGTCCCCAGCAGTACATCGAAGTCTTCAGAGTCAGAGATCCCACACTGTAGTCGTATGCTGGTTTGCTCGTCCCTTCCCGGCATTAGCACCACCTCCACTGGAGTCTTTGTGCACGGCAACCACTTAGGTTCGCCTCCCTCCGCAGTCATAACCAGCATCCCCCGCTTTATGTGCTGCCCTTGTTCGGTCAGTCCCAGCTTCTGTGCTAGCCGTTTCCCCAGCATCACGCTCTGTGCCCCTGTATCTAGGATCGCAGTCTTTGCTATCTCCCCTCCCACAGTCACTGTCCCTGCTTCTGCCACCAGTACCGTTGCTTGGCTGGCTAGTCGGTCCTTGGGATGCCTGGCTGGCTCCTCATCCCCATCACTCTCTTCTTCCGTTTTCTGTTTCGCTCCCCCTCTCTCCTTCACCATGTGTTCCTTCCTCCCATCCTTGCCCCCGCTCCTCAGACCCATCTCTTCTCGGCAGCGCATTGCTAAAAAGGTGTGTTCTGGCAACCGTTCTTCCTCCTCCCTTTCCTCCTCTTCCTCCTCTCTTGCATACAAGCCCGCTTCCTTCTCCTTCTTGCCTCCCATCGCCTGCAACCGCGCTTGCAGCTTCTCGATCTGGTTTGCTATGTCCTCTTGTGACCTTCTCGGTCCACCCGTCTTCTGATAGCAGTCTTTCTGCTGATGCCCCCTTTTTCCGCACACTTCACAGATAGGCGCATCAGGGCACTCCCGCCGGCGGTGGCCTGGTTTGCCACATGTGTCACAGTTCTTGCAGTTCATCTTCACGTGCCCTGGCTGTCCACACCTGTAGCACGTCCTAGTATCTGTCCTCCTCTCCTGCCGCTGCTCCTCTCCGCTTCCTGCCCCTGGTATCATCGCGGCTGCCCAGGTGGGTCGTTTCTTCTCCGCTGCTTTGGGCAGATATGCCTCATAGCGCCTCTGTGCCAGCTCCACCTTTTCTGCCAGCTCAAATACTTCTTCCAGCGTTGCCTCCGCCCCTAACTCGTAGACCCTCATCCTCAGCCCTCCTGCTAACCCATCATCCAGCCCCGCCAGGAACTTGCTGATCAGCATACTGGTGTCCGTGCACACCACATCTTCGGCCAGGTTCATGAGTCGTCCATAGTATGTTAACAATGACTCGTCCTTCTTGCGTCTGAAGTCTTGAAACTCCCTGATCCGGTCCGCTGTATGCCCGGGAAACTGCTTGCATAGCCGCGCCAGAAACAATGCTGTCGGGTCATCTCCATCTTCCTCCGCCCTTCTCAGCCACTCTTGCATTTTCATGCGATACAACGTCTCTGCTTCCCCTCCCAATGTGTTGGGCAGACTAAGGAAGAAGTCGATGGGGTCCATCCCCCCACGATCACACCGATACTTGACATTCCCAATCTGCATCAGATAATTCTTCAGGTTAGTGCCCGTCCCTTCATTTCCCGTGAAGCGCATTGGCACCTCCACCCTAGGCGGCGCCTGCGTGCCCCATCTCCCTATGTCCCAGGTCCCTGTCACTCCACGCTCCGTATGGCTACCTTCTCTTCTGCGCTCCCTCATTCCTCTGCTGCCTGCGCTAGCTCCGTACAACACCCTCTCTATTCCCTCCCTTGCGGCTCTAGCCTCGCTGGATCCCTCTCCTGTCTGCCATGGCCTCCTTGAGCTCCTTGGACTCGGACTCCCTCTCTGCTCCCCTTCCCACGCCTCCTTCCACTTGCCTTCTTCCCCCCTTCTCCTTTCCTTCCTCTCAGGCGAGTATTCCTGACCTCGCCTATCTCGCTCTACCCTGTCCTGCCGCTGCTGGTCTTCTCGCTTCCTCTCTTCTGCCCCCGAAGCATGTAGTGATCCTCGCCTGTCCTCCCTGCGGTACCCCTCTTTGTGCTCTCTTCCCTTCTGCGTTGAGTCCCACCCCTCTTCTTCACCATCGCTACGCTCTCCCTCCCTCGGCAGCCCCAAACCTCGCCAGTCACCCCTCGCCACGCGCCGCCTGCGCTCATACTTCTCCCTCGGCTCGGGCGAGCGGAATGCTCCAGTGGGCGCATGACAACTCCTCTCTCTTCCTAGAGGCTCCCTGGTATGACGTTCACCTCTCCCACTCCTGTCGTGCTTCAACTCATATTCATACTGCCCTGCAGGTACGCGCTCTTCCTTCCTCCCTCCCCCTTTCTCGTTACCTGTTTCTTCGCGACGCCGTCGCCTGTCTCCATCGTTCCTTTCCTCTCCGTGCCACCCATCACCCCGTGCAGCTCCAGGCCCTTCCTTGGTGGCGTCACGTCTTCCGTCTCCCCGCGTCGTTGGGAACACTGCGTCTTCGGCGTCGTTGCGCCTTCCGCTGCCCCGCGCAGTGGGGGTTCCCTCGCCTTCGGCGCCTTCGCGCGTTCCGCCTCCCCGCGCAGTGGGGGGTCCCTCGCCTTCGGCGCCGCCGCGCCTTCCGCCTCCCCGCGCAGTGGGGGATTCTTCGCCTTCGTCACCGTCGCACGTTCCGCCTCCCCGCGCAGTAGGGGATTCGCCTTCGTCACTGTCACGCGTTCCGCCTCCCCGCGCAGTGGGGGATTCTTCGCCTTCGTCTCCGTCGCGCCTTCCACCACCCTGCGCAATGGGGGATCCTTCGCCTTCAGTCTCTTCTCGATCGTCGCTGCCCCGCGCGACTGGGGCTTCTTCAATTTCTTCCTCCCCATCGCCATCGCTCGCCGAGTCCATCTCCACGTCGTCGTCGCGACGCCTTCCATCCATTCCGCGCCGGCATCCTGCCAGATCCCACGGATCGCTGGTCGCGGGCCGCCTCCCAGGCTCCGATCTGACATGCAGATCCGCTCCGCGTCCTCCAGCGCGCACGCCCACTGGCGTCACCAGATCTGCGCGATACGCCGCCCTCCTTGGCGAGCGCGTCGGCGACCTCCCTCGCTCCCTTGAGCACCTTCCCCGCGACGGAGAACGTTCCCGCCGCGAATACGTTCGCTGCATGCGCAGCTCATGGCGATCCATGTCGCCGGCTCCTTCTCTCGTTTGTGAGAAGTCCCGACTCCCACACAATGGCTACCCCGAGTGGCATTGTCACCTAGCAGCAGTAGCTTAGAACGGTAACTTGCATCCACTATAACAGGTAGACAAACGAGAGAACAAGTCTGGCTCTGCTAGGCTAGACTACTAGTACTTGCTTTCCCTGTCGCGAATTATTCAGGGGCTGGGCTTGCACTGGAGTCGCCTGGGCTCTGGTTGGCCCTCGCCGATTTCCTGTCTCCCTAGGCCTCAAATTCTCCCAACATGCGCTTCGCAATCTTCTGAGTCACCAACTTCGCGTGATTCCCCAAGTCCTCAACTACCACTCCAATACCCTGCATAACAACTTGTACACCACCTACACCCCACATAGCTCTGAACGAAATATGCTGCAACTTACCAATATGTTTCGTGACATCCCACCTTATCCACCATGTCCAGGTCCCACCTTATCCACCATGTCCAGGTCCCACCTTATCCACCATGTCCAGGTCCCACGTGCTGCTGCCGTCCTCACTGCGCCTCCACACTGCCCCCCGCCCCTCCACACTCTCCCCCTCGCCCCCGCCTAGCAGCCCCACCACTGCCCTCATCAGCGCCTCATCTGCCAACCACTCTTCTCTTCCTTGCTCCTCCTTCCCCTGTTCCTCCCCTCCTTGCTTCTCCCCCATATTTGCCTCCTCACTGTCCCCCTCACCCTTCAACCCTTTGGCAATTCTCACCCCCTCTTTCTCCCGCTCCGCGTCCCCACCCTCCCCCCCACCCCCTGCCCGCGCCCCTGCACTCTCCGCCAGGTCAGCGAGCAGAAAGAGCGCCCGGCGCTGCGTGCGGGGGGATGGCAGGGACAGCAGGCGCGCCAGCAGGGCCACACCACCGTGGCGGTAGAACCAATGGGTGGCTGCCACGTGGCCACGGATGGCAGCAGAGAGGGCGAAGAGCAGCCTGGCGTGCTCGTCCTCGCCCAGCGGGGGGTTGGGGTGCGGTGAGTGCAGGCGCGTGAAGAGTGCTTGGAGTACACCCGTGCCCATCACCTGCCGCACGCATGACGGTGGAGGAGGGGGGTTGCGGGTGACGGGGATGTGGAAAAGGGACAAACGGGATGGGTGCGCACGCACGTCTGGGGAGCATGGGCGAGGAAAGTGTGGAGGAGCGGGGCGAGTGATGTGCAGGGCAGCACACCTGGTGCTGCACTTGGCGGTTGTTCTGTGCCGCCTTGCCCACCACCAGCGCCGCCATGCTGCGCACCTGGCTGCTCCCATGCGCCAGCAGCACCCCCAACGGTGCCAGCCCGCCCAGCTTGTGCAGATCTGCCATGGAGACATGCATGGGCACGGTGGAGGGTGACAGGCAGGGCGGGCAATGAAACAAGCGGAACGGGTTGATTTGTTGCAGACACACACTCGAATGCTGTTCACACAACCTAGCTTACAGTAAAGCACAACCATGAAGCACCGAACAAGATAAGTTGCAATGAGCAGAAGTCTAAAGTGGAAGGGGGACGGTGTTTGATGGAAGTGCAGGTGGGAGGGCGAGAGATGGGAGAGATGGAAGCACAGGGAAGGGATGAGATGGGATCCGCCTCCTCATGTGTGGTGTGCCAACATGGGCAAGCAAGGGCGAGGTGGCATGGCAGGGGAGCAGCGCACCGTTGGCGGCATGCACGGGCTCCACCAGCTGCGCCAGCTCCTGCAGCGCCCCCACCACGCGCTCATGCTCCTCCCCTCCCCCTTGCTCCCCTGGCGCCCCCCCATTAGCAGCAGCAGCGGGGGCGATGTGGGCGATGGCGGCGCGCATGAGGTCGCCGGGGGACGGCATGCGCATGGCGTCCACCACGTCCTGGGGGGGGGGGGCGGGGAGGGCGGATGCATGGAGGGTGGCATTGGGGGATGCACGGAGGGTGGCATTGGGGGATGGAAACCCAGGATGCAGAAGAGCAAAGACAGAGCACACGCGAGGCAAGGCGAGGCGAGGTGAGGCGAGGCGAGGCGAGGCGAGGCGAGGCGGGGCGGAACTCACGCGGATGTGTTTTCGCTTCTCCTCCAGCTCCGCGGGTGTGAGTTCCGCCACCTCCTTGGCTCTCTGCCTCGACGCCTCCGGGTCCGACCGCTCTGCTCACACACGGAGAGGGCACGCATGACTCGAGATGGCAGCACAGCTGGTGCGCAGACAAGGAGGGGGGCATATAGCACGTGGTGACAGGCACGCAGGCGCGACGTCCAGCATGAGTGTGGTCGTACACATGCTGGGAACACGGGTCGTACACATGCTGGGAACACGGGTCGTACACATGCTGGGAACACGGGTCGTACACATGCTGGGAACACGGGTCGTACACATGCTGGGAACACGGGTCGTACACATGCTGGGAACACGGGTCGTACACATGCTGGGAACACGGGTCGTACACATGCTGGGAACACGGTTCATACCAGCGGACCCACAACCAGCTGCTTGCACCACCTATTGCCAGCATACTCCGTGCATACCTATGGCCCACTGCAGCATCGCATCCATGCTCGCAAAGCCCCCCTCCGCCCCTTCCTCCCCCTCTCCGCCTCCCCCTCCCCGCCCACTCCCCCCCGCTTCGTGCTCGTCGCCCGCTCGCCTGGGAACCACCACTTCCACGTCAGCATGCTCCAGCGACGGGATCGTGCTGTTTGCCAGGCCAATTGAGAGCGAGGACACGTCAGGGTAGGCCTCGTCCACGTCAGCCGAGCTGCGCGGCGACTCGCGATGCGGCGATGGGGACGAAACGGCGGGTTGCCTCGAGGCGGGCGGGGCTGCGATCGGCGCGCTGTCGTCGGGGGGAGGGGGTACCAACACGAGACCTTGCGCCGAGGCGCGGAGGGAAAGATGCGATGAGAGGAGGAGCGGGAGGAGGAGGATGAGGAGCGCAAGAGAACGCGGCGAACGTGATGGTGGTGGTAATGGTGGTCTCATGGAAGAACGTGATGGTGGTGGTAATGGTGGTCTCATGGAAGAACGTGATGGTTCGCACGGTGGCGCAGGAACTCGAGCTGCCATGCTCTTCGGGAATTCCCGACACACAGCTGAAGCACGCGAAGCAGATGCAAAGATCGGTATAGCTCGCGAAAGGGAAGGTTGGAAACAGTGGCTGCTGCGACGGGCGTAGATGAGTAAGGCTGGTCGGGACTGGCACCGAGGTCCTGTTCGCTAGGGCCTGCTGAAACAAGGGGGATTGGGATAAGCGAATGGATCGCGAAGCTGTCGACGAAGTGAGTTGCATGTAGGGTGACGAGTTGAGGGATGGCGAAAGAGAGGGAGGAACCGGCGTGACGACAGAGTCGAGGGATGAGCCAATCAGCTCGTCGACGACAGCACAATCTGCGTTGCGCGATGTTGGGAGGGATAAACGCAAATGGCGCGATGTTGAAAGTGGCTGTGTGCGTGCCCATGTCTGTCGGGAATGGAATATAGAACGTATAACATTATTATTTGCTCAAAAAGCAGTTGATCCAGCCTTCACCATATTCTTACTTAAAACCGGAGTCCCAAACAGGCCTAAACTGCCTCAAGCTTCCTAACTTTGGTTGGGTGTGGCCCAGTAGATAATGACTCACTTCACAAATTGCCGGGACAAATTTTGCCACGCGAAATTACTGTACAAGCGAGAGCGATAGGAGTGACAATTTCGCACAAAAAGTTGAAGCCCGTCCGAAACTTTTGCAAGCTATTTCGTGATGTTACAACTGAAGGATCGTAGTGGATAGGATAATGCTGCTAAGTATGTGAGAGAGAACTGAGCAGTCTCTGTAATGACCTTGTTGATAAATTGAAGGACAACAAGATAATTATAGGATAGGAGTACAAAGGTATAAATAGCATTCATAGCTAGCCATATACTCTGAGGGGTACATTCCCTTATTAACCGAATTGCATTTCTACAGTAACCACGACTATTGCCATTTTGGACAGTTACCATGTTGCACTTCGTAACTGCCCTGTGCGGTTACTGGTCAGTCAAGGGTCACGACCATTGACTGTCTTCGACTGTTGACCCTCGGGTGACCCTCGACCTTCCGCGTGCTCTATATGAGCTAATGCGGTACTGGTACAGGCGCTTGCTTCGCTATGAAGTGACGCGACAGTGGAGAGCCTTCGAGAATGCTTATAATAACCTTTCGGTTATTTCAACACTCCCCTTCATTCCTGAAGGTGAGCCACGTGGGACTTCTTGGTGATCCCGCAGAGGTTGGCGCAGTGCTGGAACTGTTGACGTGGCAGTTTCTTTGTCAGAAAGTCGGCTGCCATATCACCAGTTGGGCAGTACGTAAGCTTGACCTTGCCTTTATCGATTTCGTCCTTGACGAAGAAGTAACGAAGGGCGATGTGTTTCGTGCGGTTCACGAAGCCGGGCTTGTTCGCGATCTTAATCGCGCTCTGGTTGTCGCAGAGTAACGTGAAGTGTCCGTACATTGTTACTTTCGCTTCCTGTAGGAGCTCCATCAGGTACAGTCCTTCGCGAATAGCTGCGCTGGCGGCGATGAACTCTACTTCGACTGACGAAAGGGCGATGAGTTCCTGCTTCTAAGAGTTCCATGAGATGAGTCCTGCAGGTTGAAGTTGAAAAATGAATCCTGTGCGGGAGCGTCTGTTGTTAACATCTCCCGCATGGTCTGCGTCTACGTAGCCGTGCAGCTGCAGGGTAGCCGTTAAGTTAGCTTCGTAGGTGAGACCGACGTCGGGAGTGAAGATGAAGTATTGAAGTGCGCGGCGTGGATCCTGTAGATTCTCCCCTTCAGGTCGCTTCATGTACTGAGCGAACTGGCTTGCGACGTAGGAGAGATCGGGCCGGCACGTGACGGAAGCGAACAGGAGGCACCCTAGCTGCTACTGATAGAGCCGATGATCCTCGAGAGAGAGGGGCGTGGTGTCCGGTTCGTGGTTAGGAGGGGGAGTGCGGAAAGGGGTAGTGAGGCTGATAGGTGCGATGCCGAATTTCTTCGCGAGTGTTTCGGCATATTTGGCCGCGGAGAGGTGAATGGAGGAAGCGGACTGGGTGATGTTGAGACCCAGGAATTGAGTGACGTCGTGGTTGACAGTGACGTCGAGCTGCTCCTTGATATCCGTTTCGAACTGGTCCAGTAGCTCCGTGTCGTCGCCGGTGTAGAGGAGGTCGTCGACGTAGGCAACGAGGAGGATGGATTTGCCGCGTGACTCCTTCCTATACATGCCGAGGTCGTGTGACAGCTGTTGGAAGCCGAGCTTCGTGAGCACATTGTGTAGGTACTGCTGCCAAAGGCGAGGTGCTTGCTTAATCCCATAGAGGGATTTCTGGAGCAGGCAGACGGCGCCGTCGTTCTCTTTGAAGGCATGCGGCTGTTCGACGAAGATGATTGCGTCGACCGGGGCGTATAAGAATGCACTGCCGACGTCGATTTGGCGGAGTGGGCGCTGTTTGACGGCGACGATGTAGATGAGGATCCGCACTGAAGTGTGCCGTCCGACTGGTGCGTAGGTGAGATTGAAGTCCACCAGGTGAGTTTGCTCGAAGCCACGCACCACCCATCGCGCTTTGTATTTGTCGATGGAGCCATCCGCCAGTGTCTTGATGCGGAACACCCATTTTCCGCTGAGATTTTTTCTCCCCTTCGCAGATGTCCGGGGAACGAGCTTCAAGGTTCTACGGCTCTTGAGCGATGCGATTTCTTTGGCCATGGTTGCCTTCCATTTCTCACTGTCGGGGCCGGAGAGAGCTTGGCGAACGATGGTGGGTTCCTTGGGGGAAGTGTGGCAAACAGCGATGGCGAGCCCCAGGATGCGGAGACCGGTTTCGTTTGTCTTTTCGTAGTGCAGACGATCGTAGTCGTGGAAGCTGGTTACCTCGACCACGTCGTCGTTACTGTTGTTGCCAGGGCGGATGGAGTCTTGCGAAGTGTTTGGTGGTGGTAACGCGGCATCCGGGGATTCGCGAGCGGTGCTGTTGAAGTTGTGAGCTTCGCGAGTTGTATCGTCGGGATCGGTTTGGTGTAGAGGAATGAAGGTTGGAGTCTGGAGCGGGCTTGTAAGGGGGATGTTAGGTGCGCTGTCAAACTAGGTAACATTTGCTGCATCCACATCCTCTGCCAGGCCAGCTTCATCGTGTGGAGTTGCGAAGATGCGGTGTCCCTCAAAAACCCTTACCCGTGCCCTGTCAGCTTCGCGGTGTTCGTTGAACAGTGGCAGAGTCAGCTTCTCGTAGAAGATGCAGTCACGTGACTTCGTCACCTCGTGTGTCGTGTAGTCCAGCACGATCCACGCTTTGTATTCTTTTTCGATGCCGAGGTGGATGCCCAGCGAGCCCGGTCAGCAAACTTTCCGGTCCTTGCTGTGTGTGGCCTATACTGTACCATGCAGCCGAACACCCGAAGCAGGCGCGTGTCTGCTTTTCTGCCCGTCCACGCCCTGTAGGGAGAGTTGTTGTTCTCGAGGCTTTGGGAGGACAGCAAATTGTGTAGCCGGACTGCATGGTTCATGGCGAACGGCCAGTACCGAGTTGGGACGGCTGACTGCTTCATCAGGGCCCTCATCCTGGTGGCAGGGCTCCTGTTTGTCCGTTCTGCTACTCCTTGCTACTCGTGAGCGTAGGGCAGAGACACCAGGTGCTCAATCCCTTTCTTCCGGAAGAGCTCTTTGAACTCGTCTGAGAAGAACTCCAGGGCTCCGTCCGTCTGCCAACTCTTTAGCTTAAGCCCCGATTGTCGTTCGGCTCGCTTCATCCATGCGATGAAGCACTCGAAGGCGAGTGACCTGCACTCAGTATAAACAGCCTATACGTAGCGAGTGCTTGCGTCGATGAAGGTAAGCGTGTAGAATTCGCCGTCGAGTCCCTCCTTCGTCAAGCACATGAAGTCGCTGTAAACCTTGTCGAGTGGTTTGCAGCGTTTGTAACCGGGCGGCAGGTCGGGGAAGGGCTTGTGGGGGAGTGACGCAGCAGGACACACTGTGCATGGCGGGTCTTTGGAGTCTATGGTGAGGGAGCCTCCGCGACGAAGGAGTAGTGCTCCGTCGTCGAGGACGCCAGCCCGCAGGGAGTTTTTGAGTGTTATGTGAGAAGGATGCCCGAGCCGTTGATGCCTGATTTCTGGTTCCGCGCGGTAGCCGATCATTTTCTGATAATATTTGTTCCTTGCTGCTGCGTCGTTTGCCTCCCCTTCAGGTCCTGCATCGGCGGCGTCGTCGGTGTCGGCAGCGAACGCGTGGATTGACTTCCGTTCCAGAAGCGCGTGTGGAATCCCGATGATGTCATCGGTGTCGCCGGCGTCGACTTGGTCTCCAGTTATAAGCAGGCACTGGTTGGGCCAGTCGCGGATTGGGAGTCCCTTCATGGGAATCCGAAAGTAACTGTACTCGGCTCCGATGACCTGAATTTCTTGTGGTCCTTGTTCTGGCGGCTCCGGTTCCTCGGTAGGTTCTGGCAGTTCTGCTGCTTCTCCGAAGGATTCGTATGTTTCTTCTTCCTCTGACTCTTCTTGCACTGGTTCTGGTGTGTCAGAGGCGTATTGATCGGGGAGAGGAGGTCCGCCCCAGCTGGTGCCCCACGTTGCCCAATATGGGTCGATTGCCGCGGTCGCTGCCGAGGGGAGTCCCGGGGCTTCGGGATAAGGGGGGAGTGTCGACTCCCTTCCTTCATCGTTTGCGAAAGCACCCCATCCGCCTCCGGAGTTCCAGCCGCCTCCTGTGCCCCATCCCCATCCGCCTTCGGTGGCAGCGGTGCCGCTTGCTTCTGTTGCTGAGACAGTGCCCCGTTCTTCGGCGGCTGCTTCTTCTGGCGTTAGGACTTCTCCCAAGGGACCGAGTGCTGGGCCGGGACTGCCTGATTGAGTTCCAGTTTTCTCGCTTTCTTCTGTGACTGGTTTCTCAGGTGCTGACGTGCCACTGTCCTCGTCCATTGTTGCAGGTCCAGTCTCAGCTGGGTTGGAGGTTGAGGTAGTCAGAACGGTGCGCAGTCGTAGAAGGCCGTCCGAGGCAGGACGCTCAAGATCCATTTCGGTGGGATGTGACCAGGTCGGTGTCTCTGAAGGAGTCATCTTTAGTAGCAGGGTGCGGTGAAAATCGCCGGTGGTACCTTGCGCTGAGAACTGCAGCACGAAAACCCCGTCGTCATCAACCGCCTTGCCGATGTATGTTATAGAAGAGTTCGAAGGTATTGTCTTTGCAATTACTTTGAATGTCGACTCCGCACCGCATGAGTTGCACCGAAGAAAGCAGGTTGTACCGCAGATCTGGAGCGACGAGCACGTCACCAATGTGAATTGTGAATCTTGTGTCGTCAGCTTCAAGGAAGATTTCACCGATGTCGTATGCTTTGAGTGTGCCGTTGTTTGCTACTTTGATCTCGCAGGGTCGACGCATGCGTTTGGAGTTGCTGATTAACGTTGGCGATCCCACCATGTGCTATCCGCAGTAACTGTCCAGGCACCAGGTGTTGATGTGCTCGCGGCTCTGTCGCGCGCTGTTGGCGATTTTCGGCGTAACCACATCCCTCTCGCCGGTGTATGGCGAGAGAGCGAAGTACCGGTTCGCCGAGATGCTGGGAGGCGATTCTGGTGTCGGTGGTGGTAGCTCTAAATCAGGAGGGTACCTTTGTGGTTCGTCGATCCAGGTTTGGGCAGTGGGATCGTTGTCTTGCCTGGGTGGTGCAACAGGGTCAATGGTGTCAGAATAACGAAGAGGAATGGATGAACAAGCAACAGGATGGGTACAAGTAGCAAACCCTAATTTGGGTTGTACCCGATATGGGCTACCCCACTACAGCATACACAATCAGCAGCATATATTTTTGTCAAATGGGGTCGTCAGACGATATCCTTTGCGTAGTGCGACGTCGTGGTCCCACTGCAACAATTTCTTTTTCTCTGCTAAGGGAATCTCGGGGTCGATGGTATACCCGTGCGTGAAGAGTCCCTTGAGTAGCGGATTCATCCCCTCAATCTGTATGGCGGCAACGTGTCCAGGCCGGCTCAGTGCGTCTGCCTTATTCTTGTGTCCCGGCTTGTACACGATGTCGTAGTCGAAGTGCGTCTCGAGGAAGTAAATCCACCTGACTTGTCTTCTGGAGAGGTTCGGCTGCGTCTTTAGGTTCTTCAGGCTGCAATGGTCAGTGTAGACCGTGGTCTTTCTCCCTTCGAGGTAGCATCGCCATGTCTTGAATGCGGTGATGATCGGTAAGGCCTCTTTGTCGTGAATCGGGTAGTTGAGTTCTGCCCCGTGCAATTTCTTGCTGAGGTAGGCGATTGGTTGTAGTCCTTTCCCTTGGTCTTGCATCAAGACTGCTCCAACTGCTTGGTCGCTAGCGTCAGCTTCGATGACGTAGTCTTTTTCAGGATCTGGCATGATCAGGACGGGTGCGGACGTGAGTGCGGTCTTCAACTGCTCCATGGCTTGCTGGTGCACATCCTCCCACTTGAACGGTGTATTCTTCTTCAGTAGATTGGTGAGAGGTGTTGCAATCTTCGCATACTGTGGCACGAACCGATTATAGTAGTTCGCAAAGCCAAGGAATTGCTGAAGTTCCTTCACGTTCTCCGGTGTCTTCCACGTACGTACGGCTTCGATCTTCTTTGGGTCGACATGGACTCCTTGAGCGCTCACTATGTGTCCAAGGAACTGAACTTTCTTCAAGGCAAACTCGCTCTTGGATAGCTTGACGTAGAACTTCTCCCGTCGAAGTATCTCGAAGACACGTCGTAGGTGTTCGATGTGCTGCTTCATGTCCCTCGAGTAGATCAGGATGTCGTCCAGGTACACCACCACGCATTCGTCGAGTTGAGGCCTAAGAATATGGTTCATTTCGGCCTGGAATGTAGCGGGTGCGTTGGTGAGTCCGAACGACTCTATCTCGTCGTAGTATCAAATTCCTCTGTGACGGCGCACCATGCAGCTCATGATTAACCCCTTGACTTTATCCTTGGCCGTAATGCATGCAGGTGTCTGCGAGGTACTCGCAACGGAAGGAGGCGACACGGTGGCTGTTGCGGCGGGAGAAGTCGAGGGCGTCGAGAATTGATGGTTCGAAGGGTTGTTGCGCCTTTCGTCGGCGGCCTTTCGCTTAAAGCACCAATCGATAGTGTGCCCAGGCTTCTTGCAGTACTTGCAGAAAGTTTCTTTCTTTCCGTGCTGCTCCCCTTCGGTTGCTCCGACGTAGAAGACTACTTTTTCCCGCTTGGTGTTCTTCTCGTTGTACAGGTCGATCTCCTTTTGCTCGGAGAGAAGTGTGGCGCAGAGGGCTGATTCGGAGACGGTTGCTCGAGCGCGGAGCAAGGATTGGCATTAACGACAGTCAGGTCCGAGGCCGGAGAGAACCATTGAGACGAACATGTCGTCTGGGACTGATCCGCCGCACTTCTTGATGTGGTCGCGCAGATTGCGGCACCGGTTGATATATGGTCCCGCTTTCTCCCCTTGATGCATTTTGATCGATGTGAGCTGGCTGAGTAGGCGACTCATAGTAACTGGATCTGTTGCCATGTATGAGTTGTGCAGGTGCTCCCAGGAGGCGTACCCGGGCGCCCACTCTGACTTGTAGGAGCGAATGCTGAGCTGTTCGTCGGGGGAGAGATTTCGGAGCAGAGTGGTGTACGCGAGAAGAGATTAGTGGTAATGTTGGTTCTTCTCTTGGATGGTGCTTTCCGTTGGAAACGGTAAGCTCCCGTCGTAGTATATCCAGATTTGCGCAGTTGTCACGAGGAGCTCAAACTCGAAGCTCCAAGTTTAGAAGTCCTTTCCGTCGAAAGGAACTGATGTTTTCAGCTTTGATGTCAGAATGAATTTTGTCTGCATTGTTGCAATCGTGTCTGAGTGTGCTCGTTGTTGACTGTCTTGCGCAGGAGCTGAAGTTTGACGGTTGTCAAACGTGAATGATCTCTCGGAGTTGACGCGGCGGTCTTCTCCAGGGAGAGGAAGTCCAGCAACTCCACGTGCATAGCTTGAGCCATCAACGCTCATCGCCTGATGGCTCTCAAGAGCGTTGATGCGTGCGACCAGCTGCTCAACAAGAGCGGCGCTGACCGAGGTCACAGCTGATGGTGCAGTGGGTGTTGCTGGTGGTGGGCCCGGAGAGTCTGCAGTGGCTTTTCCTTCTGGAGCCACAGTGATGCAGAATCGTTAGATGATGTAATGAGTAATTTATAAGAAGGATGTTCTATTGAGAACAAGAACTTAGCAGGCCTTATAATCCACTCTAGCTCTCATACCATGATGTTACAACTGAAGGATCGTAGTGGATAGGATAATGATGCTAAGTATGTGAGAGAGAACTGAGCAGTCTCTGTAATGACCTTGTTGATAAATTGAAGGAGAACAAGATAATTATAGGATAGGAGTACAAGGGTATAAATAGCATTCCTAGCTAGCCATGTACTCTGAGAGGTACATTCCCTTATTAACCGAATTGCATTGCTAAAGTAACCACGACAATTGCCATTTTGGACAGTTACCATGTTGCACTTCGTAACTGCCCTGTGCGGTTACTGGTCAGTCAAGGGTCACGACCGTTGACTGTCTTCGACTGTTGACCTTCGGGTGACCCTCGACCTTCCGCGTGCTCTATATGAGCTAATGCGGTACTGGTACAGGCGCTTGCTTCGCTATGAAGTGACGCGACAGTGGAGAGCCTTCGGAATGCTTATAACAACCTTTCGGTTATTTCAACATTTCGTACGTTGCATTCAAAATCTGGTTACACACGCGAGGTACTCAGGCTCTGCGATCGGCGTCCACAAATCGCGACACCACCCTGGTTCGCGCGCCACTCATGTCCCTTGCCCCAACTCCGGTTTTAATGACAGATGCTGGCTGAACTGGATTCCTGTATAGGATATCTTCTCTATGCTGCAGACTTATACCCATGTTCCTCAAGAATTTTAAATGCGTACAGCTTGGTGGAGTCATCTTCACCAGCGACCCACACGTGTCCGCACCGACACCACTCGATCGTGTGGGTACAGTAAAGCGTACAGAAGCCCACAACGTACTTCAGTTCATCTAAATGCGCCCCTTTTGAACCCTCGCCATACATGGTCGAGTCGAGACACAAGGGGGGCGGGTGAAGGTCGGCCGTTGGCTCATTGGCGACATTTGCGGTGCTATCGGCGATCAAGTGTAATAAGCAGTTTAACTACTCGAGGAAATTAGGTTCGTCGTCGCTTCCGCCGCGCGTAACGATCAATCAGCGGCCGTGACGATCGCAACTGCGACTCGGGAGCGGGATTCGTGCGTGAGGAAGCGATAATTGTCGGCTTTGCGAGTCGAATTGTGGATCGTCAAAAGCAACTGGCGGCAGGAGGTTGAGCCGCCGTTGATTCGCGATGGCGGCCTCGACGGACGGCCGCGATGGCATCTCAGGGGTAAGGCAGCCGAAGCGGGAAGAGATGCGGAACAGGACAAGTGGCGACCTCTTTGATTCCGCGCCAATCACCGCCTATCCAGCCAGCAGCCACAGGCGTGAGCAGCAATGGAGGCAGCAGTTTCCTTTAATCGCCCCCCGTTTTTCAAGAGTCACAGCTCACCTCCCATTCCGTCCCCCCCTACACTCCCAACCCCCCGCCCTTTTCGCCCCTCCCCTGGTCCGTCCTCCCGGCAGCCATCGTCGGAGGACAAAGCGTCGCTGTGGTCGCGCCTGACGTTCGCGCGGGTGGGGCCGCTTATCCGCTCATCTGCTTATCTGCTCATCTGCTCATCTGCTTATCTGCTCATCTGCTCATCTGCTCATCTGCTCATCTGCTCATCTGCTCATCTGCTCGTCTGCTCATCTGCTCATCTGCTCATCTGCTCATCTGCTCATCTGCTCATCTGCTCATCTGCTCATCTGCTCATCTGCTCATCTGCTCAACCGCTCAACCGCTCAACCGCTCAACCGCTCAACCGCTCAACCGCTCAACCGCTCAACCGCTCATCCGCTCATCCGCCTCATGTTCTTTTCCTCCTCCCCCCCTCCTGCCATCCCCTCTCTCCCTGCAGCCGTCACCGGAGGACGAGGCGTCGCTGTGGGGGCGCCTCACCTTCGCGTGGGTGGGGCCGCTGATACGGCTGGGCAACGCCAACGTGCTGCACGCGCCCGACCTGCCGCCCCTCTGCCCGCGCGACTCCACTGCTGCCGTCGCACCCTCGCTCAGGGCCGCGTGGCAGGCCGAGACGAACGCCACGCACAGGTGCTCCAGCAGAGTTGTATTGGATGTATGTATATTTTCATGTATATGCATGATATGTGTGTGGATATCATTTGCATACTGTGTGTATATGTGCTCCCCATCTCCCTTGCTCCCCATCTCCCCCTCTCCTCCTCACCCCCTGTCCCCTCTCTCCCTCACCTGACTGCTCCCAGGCGTCACTTGTTGGCCCGCGTGCTAGTGACCGCATTCGCGCTAGTGAGCGCATTCGCGCTAGTGAGCGCATTCGCGCTAGTGAGCGCATTCGCGCTAGTGAGCACATTCGCGCTAGTGAGCGCATTCGCGCTAGTGAGCGCATTCGCGCTAGTGAGCGCATTCGCGCTAGTGAGCGCATTCGCGCTAGTGAGCGCATTCGCGCTAGTGAGCGCATTCACGCTAGTGAGCGCATTCGCGCGCCCCTTCGTGGCAGCGGGCGCTCTGGAATCTCCTCTGCTCCCACCTGCTCCTCGCCTCGCCACTCTCTGCCCCTCAAGACTGCTTCTTTCCGCTTTCCCCCTCCCCCCTTTCTCCCCCTCTTTCCCTCTTCCCTCCCCCTCTCCCACCCACTGCCCCCCATCTCTCCCCCCTGCCCCCAGGCATCCCTCGCTGCCCCGTGCATTGGTGAGCACATTCGTGCGGCCCTTCATGGCAGCGGGCGCACTCAAGCTCATTCACGACCTGCTGCAGCTCGCCTCGCCGCTGCTGCTGCAGCAGATCATCCTCCACCTCAGCATGACGTCATTCCATGTCAGCACAGCGCCCCCGCACTCAGCAGTCAACAGCTCAGCCGAAGGCCTCCTTGGTCCCTCGCTCTTCCTCCGCAACTCCTCGCTCCCCCCCCCTCCACCCTCACACCCTCCCTCCACCGCTCACTCCTCTCCGCCCCCTCCACCCACCCCACGATCCCTGTCACTACCCCACTCCCATCTCTCCCCCCAGCACCGCAACTCCTCGCTTGGATCTTCCTCCCTTTCGTGTCTCTCGTCCCTCAAGCGGCTCCCCACACCCAGAGCCCAATCGCCAACGCCACTCTTGGCTTCACGGGCCCCCTCACACACTCCTCAACTCACCCACTCCCTTCCTCCTCCTCGCACTTATCCTCGTTAGTGGCCGCTTCACTACCAGCGTGGCTGCCGGGGCTGCTGCTAGCAGGGGTGTTGCTGGCGTGCAACGTGGGGCAGTCGCTCGTCGCCCATCAGTACTTCCACCGCCTCTACCGCCTCTCCTCCCATGTGCGTTCCTCTCCTCCCATGTGCGTTCCTCTCCTCCCATGTGCGTTCCTCTCCTCCCATGTGCGTTCCTCTCCTCCCATGTGCGTTCCTCTCCTCCCATGTGCGTTCCTCTCCTCCCACGTGCGTTCCTCTCCTCCCATGTGCGTTCCTCTCCTCCCATGTGCGTTCCTCTCCTCCCATGTGCGTTCCTCTCCTCCCATGTGCGTTCCTCTCCTCCCATGTGCGTTCCTCTCCTCCCATGTGCGTTCCTCTCCTCCCATGTGCGTTCCTCTCCTCCCACGTGCGTTCCTCTCCTCCCATGTGCGTTCCTCTCCTCCCACGTGCGTTCCTCTCCTCCCATGTGCGTTCCTCTCCTCCCACGTGCGTTCCTCTCCTCCCATGTGCGTTCCTCTCCTCCCATGTGCGTTCCTCTCCTCCCATGTGCGTTCCTCTCCTCCCATGTGCGTTCCTCTCCTCCCATGTGCGTTCCTCTCCTCCCACGTGCGTTCCTCTCCTCCCATGTGCGTTCCTCTCCTCCCACGTGCGTTCCTCTCCTCCCATGTGCGTTCCTCTCCTCCCACGTGCGTTCCTCTCCTCCCATGTGCGTTCCTCTCCTCCCACGTGCGTTCCTCTCCTCCCATGTGCGTTCCTCTCCTCCCATGTGCGTTCCTCTCCTCCCATGTGCGTTCCTCTCCTCCCACGTGCGTTCCTCTCCTCCCATGTGCGTTCCTCTCCTCCCACGTGCGTTCCTCTCCTCCCATGTGCGTTCCTCTCCTCCCACGTGCGTTCCTCTCCTCCCATGTGCGTTCCTCTCCTCCCACGTGCGTTCCTCTCCTCCCATGTGCGTTCCTCTCCTCCCACGTGCGTTCCTCTCCTCCCATGTGCGTTCCTCTCCTCCCATGTGCGTTCCTCTCCTCCCATGTGCGTTCCTCTCCTCCCACGTGCGTTCCTCTCCTCCCATGTGCGTTCCTCTCCTCCCACGTGCGTTCCTCTCCTCCCATGTGCGTTCCTCTCCTCCCACGTGCGTTCCTCTCCTCCCATGTGCGTTCCTCTCCTCCCATGTGCGTTCCTCTCCTCCCATGTGCGTTCCTCTCCTCCCATGTGCGTTCCTCTCCTCCCATGTGCGTTCCTCTCCTCCCATGTGCGTTCCTCTCCTCCCATGTGCGTTCCTCTCCTCCCATGTGCGTTCCTCTCCTCCCATGTGCGTTCCTCTCCTCCCATGTGCGTTCCTCTCCTCCCATGTGCGTTCCTCTCCTCCCATGTGCGTTCCTCTCCTCCCATGTGCGTTCCTCTCCTCCCATGTGCGTTCCTCTCCTCCCATGTGCGTTCCTCTCCTCCCATGTGCGTTCCTCTCCTCCCATGTGCGTTCCTCTCCTCCCATGTGCGTTCCTCTCCTCCCATGTGCGTTCCTCTCCTCCCATGTGCGTTCCTCTCCTCCCATGTGCGTTCCTCTCCTCCCATGTGCGTTCCTCTCCTCCCATGTGCGTTCCTCTCCTCCCATGTGCGTTCCTCTCCTCCCATGTGCGTTCCTCTCCTCCCATGTGCGTTCCTCTCCTCCCATGTGCGTTCCTCTCCTCCCATGTGCGTTCCTCTCCTCCCATGTGCGTTCCTCTCCTCCCATGTGCGTTCCTCTCCTCCCATGTGCGTTCCTCTCCTCCCATGTGCGTTCCTCTCCTCCCATGTGCGTTCCTCTCCTCCCATGTGCGTTCCTCTCCTCCCATGTGCGTTCCTCTCCTCCCATGTGCGTTCCTCTCCTCCCATGTGCGTTCCTCTCCTCCCATGTGCGTTCCTCTCCTCCCATGTGCGTTCCTCTCCTCCCATGTGCGTTCCTCTCCTCCCATGTGCGTTCCTCTCCTCCCATGTGCGTTCCTCTCCTCCCATGTGCGTTCCTCTCCTCCCATGTGCGTTCCTCTCCTCCCATGTGCGTTCCTCTCCTCCCATGTGCGTTCCTCTCCTCCCATGTGCGTTCCTCTCCTCCCATGTGCGTTCCTCTCCTCCCATGTGCGTTCCTCTCCTCCCATGTGCGTTCCTCTCCTCCCATGTGCGTTCCTCTCCTCCCATGTGCGTTCCTCTCCTCCCATGTGCGTTCCTCTCCTCCCATGTGCGTTCCTCTCCTCCCATGTGCGTTCCTCTCCTCCCATGTGCGTTCCTCTCCTCCCATGTGCGTTCCTCTCCTCCCATGTGCGTTCCTCTCCTCCCATGTGCGTTCCTCTCCTCCCATGTGCGTTCCTCTCCTCCCATGTGCGTTCCTCTCCTCCCATGTGCGTTCCTCTCCTCCCATGTGCGTTCCTCTCCTCCCATGTGCGTTCCTCTCCTCCCATGTGCGTTCCTCTCCTCCCATGTGCGTTCCTCTCCTCCCATGTGCGTTCCTCTCCTCCCATGTGCGTTCCTCTCCTCCCATGTGCGTTCCTCTCCTCCCATGTGCGTTCCTCTCCTCCCATGTGCGTTCCTCTCCTCCCATGTGCGTTCCTCTCCTCCCATGTGCGTTCCTCTCCTCCCATGTGCGTTCCTCTCCTCCCATGTGCGTTCCTCTCCTCCCATGTGCGTTCCTCTCCTCCATGTGCGTTCCTCTCCTCCATGTGCGTTCCTCTCCTCCCATGTGCGTTCCTCTCCTCCCATGTGCGTTCCTCTCCTCCCATGTGCGTTCCTCTCCTCCCATGTGCGTTCCTCTCCTCCCATGTGCGTTCCTCTCCTCCCATGTGCGTTCCTCTCCTCCCATGTGCGTTCCTCTCCTCCCATGTGCGTTCCTCTCCTCCCATGTGCGTTCCTCTCCTCCCATGTGCGTTCCTCTCCTCCCATGTGCGTTCCTCTCCTCCCATGTGCGTTCCTCTCCTCCCATGTGCGTTCCTCTCCTCCCATGTGCGTTCCTCTCCTCCCATGTGCGTTCCTCTCCTCCCATGTGCGTTCCTCTCCTCCCATGTGCGTTCCTCTCCTCCCATGTGCGTTCCTCTCCTCCCATGTGCGTTCCTCTCCTCCCATGTGCGTTCCTCTCCTCCCATGTGCGTTCCTCTCCTCCCATGTGCGTTCCTCTCCTCCCATGTGCGTTCCTCTCCTCCCATGTGCGTTCCTCTCCTCCCATGTGCGTTCCTCTCCTCCCATGTGCGTTCCTCTCCTCCCATGTGCGTTCCTCTCCTCCCATGTGCGTTCCTCTCCTCCCATGTGCGTTCCTCTCCTCCCATGTGCGTTCCTCTCCTCCCATGTGCGTTCCTCTCCTCCCATGTGCGTTCCTCTCCTCCCATGTGCGTTCCTCTCCTCCCATGTGCGTTCCTCTCCTCCCATGTGCGTTCCTCTCCTCCCATGTGCGTTCCTCTCCTCCCATGTGCGTTCCTCTCCTCCCATGTGCGTTCCTCTCCTCCCATGTGCGTTCCTCTCCTCCCATGTGCGTTCCTCTCCTCCCATGTGCGTTCCTCTCCTCCCATGTGCGTTCCTCTCCTCCCATGTGCGTTCCTCTCCTCCCATGTGCGTTCCTCTCCTCCCATGTGCGTTCCTCTCCTCCCATGTGCGTTCCTCTCCTCCCATGTGCGTTCCTCTCCTCCCATGTGCGTTCCTCTCCTCCCATGTGCGTTCCTCTCCTCCCATGTGCGTTCCTCTCCTCCCATGTGCGTTCCTCTCCTCCCATGTGCGTTCCTCTCCTCCCATGTGCGTTCCTCTCCTCCCATGTGCGTTCCTCTCCTCCCATGTGCGTTCCTCTCCTCCCATGTGCGTTCCTCTCCTCCCATGTGCGTTCCTCTCCTCCCATGTGCGTTCCTCTCCTCCCATGTGCGTTCCTCTCCTCCCATGTGCGTTCCTCTCCTCCCATGTGCGTTCCTCTCCTCCCATGTGCGTTCCTCTCCTCCCATGTGCGTTCCTCTCCTCCCATGTGCGTTCCTCTCCTCCCATGTGCGTTCCTCTCCTCCCATGTGCGTTCCTCTCCTCCCATGTGCGTTCCTCTCCTCCCATGTGCGTTCCTCTCCTCCCATGTGCGTTCCTCTCCTCCCATGTGCGTTCCTCTCCTCCCATGTGCGTTCCTCTCCTCCCATGTGCGTTCCTCTCCTCCCATGTGCGTTCCTCTCCTCCCATGTGCGTTCCTCTCCTCCCATGTGCGTTCCTCTCCTCCCATGTGCGTTCCTCTCCTCCCATGTGCGTTCCTCTCCTCCCATGTGCGTTCCTCTCCTCCCATGTGCGTTCCTCTCCTCCCATGTGCGTTCCTCTCCTCCCATGTGCGTTCCTCTCCTCCCATGTGCGTTCCTCTCCTCCCATGTGCGTTCCTCTCCTCCCATGTGCGTTCCTCTCCTCCCATGTGCGTTCCTCTCCTCCCATGTGCGTTCCTCTCCTCCCATGTGCGTTCCTCTCCTCCCATGTGCGTTCCTCTCCTCCCATGTGCGTTCCTCTCCTCCCATGTGCGTTCCTCTCCTCCCATGTGCGTTCCTCTCCTCCCATGTGCGTTCCTCTCCTCCCATGTGCGTTCCTCTCCTCCCATGTGCGTTCCTCTCCTCCCATGTGCGTTCCTCTCCTCCCATGTGCGTTCCTCTCCTCCCATGTGCGTTCCTCTCCTCCCATGTGCGTTCCTCTCCTCCCATGTGCGTTCCTCTCCTCCCATGTGCGTTCCTCTCCTCCCATGTGCGTTCCTCTCCTCCCATGTGCGTTCCTCTCCTCCCATGTGCGTTCCTCTCCTCCCATGTGCGTTCCTCTCCTCCCATGTGCGTTCCTCTCCTCCCATGTGCGTTCCTCTCCTCCCATGTGCGTTCCTCTCCTCCCATGTGCGTTCCTCTCCTCCCATGTGCGTTCCTCTCCTCCCATGTGCGTTCCTCTCCTCCCATGTGCGTTCCTCTCCTCCCATGTGCGTTCCTCTCCTCCCATGTGCGTTCCTCTCCTCCCATGTGCGTTCCTCTCCTCCCATGTGCGTTCCTCTCCTCCCATGTGCGTTCCTCTCCTCCATGTGCGTTCCTCTCCTCCCATGTGCGTTCCTCTCCTCCCATGTGCGTTCCTCTCCTCCCATGTGCGTTCCTCTCCTCCCATGTGCGTTCCTCTCCTCCCATGTGCGTTCCTCTCCTCCCATGTGCGTTCCTCTCCTCCCATGTGCGTTCCTCTCCTCCCATGTGCGTTCCTCTCCTCCCACGTGCGTTCCTCTCCTCCCATGTGCGTTCCTCTCCTCCCACGTGCGTTCCTCTCCTCCCACGTGCGTTCCTCTCCTCCCACGTGCGTTCCTCTCCTCCCACGTGCGTTCCTCTCCTCCCATGTGCGTTCCTCTCCTCCCATGTGCGTTCCTCTCCTCCCATGTGCGTTCCTCTCCTCCCATGTGCGTTCCTCTCCTCCCATGTGCGTTCCTCTCCTCCCACGTGCGTTCCTCTCCTCCCATGTGCGTTCCTCTCCTCCCATGTGCGTTCCTCTCCTCCCATGTGCGTTCCTCTCCTCCCACGTGCGTTCCTCTCCTCCCATGTGCGTTCCTCTCCTCCCATGTGCGTTCCTCTCCTCCCACGTGCGTTCCTCTCCTCCCACGTGCGTTCCTCTCCTCCCATGTGCGTTCCTCTCCTCCCACGTGCGTTCCTCTCCTCCCATGTGCGTTCCTCTCCTCCCATGTGCGTTCCTCTCCTCCCACGTGCGTTCCTCTCCTCCCACGTGCGTTCCTCTCCTCCCACGTGCGTTCCTCTCCTCCCACGTGCGTTCCTCTCCTCCCACGTGCGTTCCTCTCCTCCCACGTGCGTTCCTCTCCTCCCATGTGCGTTCCTCTCCTCCCATGTGCGTTCCTCTCCTCCCATGTGCGTTCCTCTCCTCCCATGTGCGTTCCTCTCCTCCCATGTGCGTTCCTCTCCTCCCACGTGCGTTCCTCTCCTCCCATGTGCGTTCCTCTCCTCCCATGTGCGTTCCTCTCCTCCCATGTGCGTTCCTCTCCTCCCACGTGCGTTCCTCTCCTCCCATGTGCGTTCCTCTCCTCCCATGTGCGTTCCTCTCCTCCCACGTGCGTTCCTCTCCTCCCACGTGCGTTCCTCTCCTCCCACGTGCGTTCCTCTCCTCCCATGTGCGTTCCTCTCCTCCCACGTGCGTTCCTCTCCTCCCATGTGCGTTCCTCTCCTCCCATGTGCGTTCCTCTCCTCCCACGTGCGTTCCTCTCCTCCCACGTGCGTTCCTCTCCTCCCATGTGCGTTCCTCTCCTCCCATGTGCGTTCCTCTCCTCCCATGTGCGTTCCTCTCCTCCCATGTGCGTTCCTCTCCTCCCACGTGCGTTCCTCTCCTCCCATGTGCGTTCCTCTCCTCCCATGTGCGTTCCTCTCCTCCCACGTGCGTTCCTCTCCTCCCACGTGCGTTCCTCTCCTCCCACGTGCGTTCCTCTCCTCCCATGTGCGTTCCTCTCCTCCCACGTGCGTTCCTCTCCTCCCATGTGCGTTCCTCTCCTCCCATGTGCGTTCCTCTCCTCCCACGTGCGTTCCTCTCCTCCCACGTGCGTTCCTCTCCTCCCATGTGCGTTCCTCTCCTCCCACGTGCGTTCCTCTCCTCCCACGTGCGTTCCTCTCCTCCCACGTGCGTTCCTCTCCTCCCACGTGCGTTCCTCTCCTCCCACGTGCGTTCCTCTCCTCCCACGTGCGTTCCTCTCCTCCCATGTGCGTTCCTCTCCTCCCATGTGCGTTCCTCTCCTCCCATGTGCGTTCCTCTCCTCCCATGTGCGTTCCTCTCCTCCCATGTGCGTTCCTCTCCTCCCACGTGCGTTCCTCTCCTCCCATGTGCGTTCCTCTCCTCCCATGTGCGTTCCTCTCCTCCCATGTGCGTTCCTCTCCTCCCACGTGCGTTCCTCTCCTCCCATGTGCGTTCCTCTCCTCCCATGTGCGTTCCTCTCCTCCCACGTGCGTTCCTCTCCTCCCACGTGCGTTCCTCTCCTCCCACGTGCGTTCCTCTCCTCCCACGTGCGTTCCTCTCCTCCCATGTGCGTTCCTCTCCTCCCACGTGCGTTCCTCTCCTCCCATGTGCGTTCCTCTCCTCCCATGTGCGTTCCTCTCCTCCCACGTGCGTTCCTCTCCTCCCACGTGCGTTCCTCTCCTCCCATGTGCGTTCCTCTCCTCCCACGTGCGTTCCTCTCCTCCCACGTGCGTTCCTCTCCTCCCACGTGCGTTCCTCTCCTCCCACGTGCGTTCCTCTCCTCCCACGTGCGTTCCTCTCCTCCCACGTGCGTTCCTCTCCTCCCACGTGCGTTCCTCTCCTCCCATGTGCGTTCCTCTCCTCCCATGTGCGTTCCTCTCCTCCCATGTGCGTTCCTCTCCTCCCATGTGCGTTCCTCTCCTCCCATGTGCGTTCCTCTCCTCCCACGTGCGTTCCTCTCCTCCCATGTGCGTTCCTCTCCTCCCATGTGCGTTCCTCTCCTCCCATGTGCGTTCCTCTCCTCCCACGTGCGTTCCTCTCCTCCCATGTGCGTTCCTCTCCTCCCATGTGCGTTCCTCTCCTCCCACGTGCGTTCCTCTCCTCCCACGTGCGTTCCTCTCCTCCCACGTGCGTTCCTCTCCTCCCATGTGCGTTCCTCTCCTCCCACGTGCGTTCCTCTCCTCCCATGTGCGTTCCTCTCCTCCCATGTGCGTTCCTCTCCTCCCACGTGCGTTCCTCTCCTCCCACGTGCGTTCCTCTCCTCCCATGTGCGTTCCTCTCCTCCCACGTGCGTTCCTCTCCTCCCACGTGCGTTCCTCTCCTCCCACGTGCGTTCCTCTCCTCCCACGTGCGTTCCTCTCCTCCCACGTGCGTTCCTCTCCTCCCACGTGCGTTCCTCTCCTCCCACGTGCGTTCCTCTCCTCCCACGTGCGTTCCTCTCCTCCCACGTGCGTTCCTCTCCTCCCATGTGCGTTCCTCTCCTCCCATGTGCGTTCCTCTCCTCCCATGTGCGTTCCTCTCCTCCCATGTGCGTTCCTCTCCTCCCATGTGCGTTCCTCTCCTCCCACGTGCGTTCCTCTCCTCCCATGTGCGTTCCTCTCCTCCCATGTGCGTTCCTCTCCTCCCATGTGCGTTCCTCTCCTCCCACGTGCGTTCCTCTCCTCCCATGTGCGTTCCTCTCCTCCCATGTGCGTTCCTCTCCTCCCACGTGCGTTCCTCTCCTCCCACGTGCGTTCCTCTCCTCCCACGTGCGTTCCTCTCCTCCCATGTGCGTTCCTCTCCTCCCACGTGCGTTCCTCTCCTCCCATGTGCGTTCCTCTCCTCCCATGTGCGTTCCTCTCCTCCCACGTGCGTTCCTCTCCTCCCACGTGCGTTCCTCTCCTCCCATGTGCGTTCCTCTCCTCCCACGTGCGTTCCTCTCCTCCCACGTGCGTTCCTCTCCTCCCACGTGCGTTCCTCTCCTCCCACGTGCGTTCCTCTCCTCCCACGTGCGTTCCTCTCCTCCCACGTGCGTTCCTCTCCTCCCACGTGCGTTCCTCTCCTCCCACGTGCGTTCCTCTCCTCCCACGTGCGTTCCTCTCCTCCCACGTGCGTTCCTCTCCTCCCATGTGCGTTCCTCTCCTCCCATGTGCGTTCCTCTCCTCCCATGTGCGTTCCTCTCCTCCCATGTGCGTTCCTCTCCTCCCATGTGCGTTCCTCTCCTCCCACGTGCGTTCCTCTCCTCCCATGTGCGTTCCTCTCCTCCCATGTGCGTTCCTCTCCTCCCATGTGCGTTCCTCTCCTCCCACGTGCGTTCCTCTCCTCCCATGTGCGTTCCTCTCCTCCCATGCCATGCCATGTCATCCCATGCCATGCCATGCCATGCCATGCCATCCCATGCCATGCCATGCCATGCCATGCCATGCCATGCCATGCCATGCCATGCCATGCCATCCCATGCCATGCCATGCCATCCCATGCCATGCCATGCCATCCCATGCCATGCCATGCCATGCCATGCCATGGCATCGCATGCCATGCCATGGCATCTCATGCCATCTCATGCCATACCACACCATGGCCTGCATCTCATACCATCCGTTTTAAATCCCACGCCATGTCATGACACAACCACCACGCCACCACACCCTGCTATCATCATGCCAGAATGATCATGCCAGAATGATCATGCCATCACCATGCTACCTCTGCCATCCCACCACACCATGCCACCATGATACGATGGCATCACGACATGCTATCAACATACCTGATGCTCCCACTGTGAGCATGACCGCATGCCCAAAACGAGCCTGGGTTACAGCTCGTGGCAATTCACCAGCCAGCCCTTTCTGTCAGCCCGCTCGCCTTGTTTCCGGTTCTCTCTTATTACATATGACAACCATCTTGCTCGTGCACCCTCGCTTCAACCCGAGTGCCCCCAAACCCACCCCTTCCGTCCTTTCCTTTTCGCTGCTTCCCCTAACCTTTACCTCACCTCGCCCTCCTTCCTGTTTATCGCCCATCCGCACTGCCAAACTGCACTTACACTCTACGTTCCTTCTGTATGGCAAGCCTTACAGTGGGCCTTAGAAGTGGGCCTAGTTTGCTATAGTGCCATTAGACAATGGGACTAAGAGGCTCGTCAGCTTGGCTGCACTGCCTCCGTGCACTCATATCCTCTCCCCATTCCCTTTCCCCCTCTCCCAATGTTTCCTTTCCCCACCCCTCCCCTCTTTCCGCACGCCCCTACCTCTTCTCCTCCCTCCCTCCTCACCCCCATCCGCACAGAGCTGGTGGGGATTTCATTAACCGCTTTCCCCCTCTCCTTAACCCCTTTCCCCCCTTCCTCCCTCCTCCTCCCTCCCTGTCACAGCCCTGGCGGGGCTAGCCACCATGCTGCTGCTGATGCCGTTCAACGGGGTGCTCATGGGGCGCCTCTCCGCGGTGCGGCACCGCCTCATAGCACGCACCGATGCGCGCGTGCGCCTGCTCTCCGAGGCCGTGGGGGCCGTGCGCGCCGTGAAGCTCAACGGGTGGGAGGCGCTGTTCAAAGGGCGCATAGAGGCGAGGCGGGCGGAGGAGATGAAGGAGATCACTGTGTCCGTGCTGCTGGGTGGGTGGGTTTGCTGGCCCCGGGTTTGTGATGCACGGGTGGGTGCTGTGCTGTGCCCCATCGAGGTCTGCTCTGCTCGCACACTACCACATTCGCACCCACGGCCTGGCCGCCATTGTGTCTGCGACATGCGCATGTGTCCTGCTTCATTTGCTTCGCCTTAGCTCCAACTCAAATTGTGCATGGCTCGATTTACAACCCATTTGTTGAGATGTCACATGGAGGCCTTACAGGGTACATGCCAGTAGCTGCCATGTGAAGTCATGCCAGTAGCTGCCATGTGAAGTCATGCTGTTTATTTGCATATGCCTCCCTTGCCTACGTGCACCCTTGTTCCCTTACCTCCTTGCCCCCTCTGCCCCCTTGTTCCCCTTTGTCCCCCACCACAGCCGGGCCATGCATGGGGGCCATGCATGGGGCCATGCATGGGGGCCATGCATGGGGGCCATGCATGGGGGCCATGCATGGGGCCATGCATGGGGGCCATGCATGGGGGCCATGCATGGGGCCATGCATGGGGGCCATGCATGGGGGCCATGCATGGGGGCCATGCATGGGGGCCATGCATGGGGGCCATGCATGGGGGCCATGCATGGGGGCCATGCATGGGGGCCATGCATGGGGCCATGCATGGGAGCCATGGTCCTTTTCGCCGACTACATCACACCCATGCTCGTCCGGTCCGTGGCTCCATGCTCCCTGTGCCTCCTGTGTCCCCACCCCCACACACCACCACCAGAGGCCATGGGGCTATTCGTGTACTACCTCACGCCCATGGTCGTCAGTGTCGTCTCCCTCGCCGCCTATGTGCTGCTCGGCCGCCCGCTCACTGCCGACGTCGCCTTCCCCGCCCTCGCCCTCTTCAACCTCCTCAGGTGCGCCCCCCTCGCCCTCATGCCTGCCTCCCTTCACTGTGTCAACGGTGACGGGGGTTTGGCCTGGGGTGAGGTGGGTTTGGCCTGGGTGGGGTGAGGCGAGGTGGCACTAATACCTGCTGCTGATCCTTTCCAGCTAGTACCTGCCGCACTGAGCCGTGGCTCAGGTGCCACGAACTCAAGTGGGGTTGCTCTTTGTTCCATTCACCATTGCCCAGACAGTCATTCAAGAGGCCCTTGCTACTGTTATCCCCATCGTCATTCAAGAGACCCTTGCTATTGTTATCCTCATCGTCCAATGCCCACACACCCCCGTCCCAACCCCCACTCCTCCCTCCCACCTCCCCTTCCTCCTTGCGTGCTCCACCCTTGTTGCACGCGCATTGCAGGTTCCCCCTCGCCATGATTCCCGATCAAATCAACGACTACGTGCAAGCCAAGGTCTCCGCGGGCCGTGTTGAAAAGTTTCTGCTGCTGCCCGAGATCGTTCCTTTGGAAGAGGAGCCGGGCAGCCAGAAGGGTAGCATAAAGCTTTGCAATGCCTCTTTCTCCTGGGGAGGTGGGGCAGGCGAAGTGGAGAGCGCCAGTGATGCTGATGGCAGTGGCCGCAATGATTCGAGCACTATTGGTGCTGGTGGCAGCGGTGGCAGTGGCAGTGCTGTGGCAGTGGGTGCGAATGGCATAGGTGCATGTGAAGCAAAGGAGGAGGGAGGGAAGCAGGGAGGGAAGAAGGGGGGGGAGGGGGGAGAAGGGGCGTTGGCACTATGTGATGTGACGTTGGACATTCCTCCAGGGCAGCTTGTGATCGTGGTGGGCGAGGTGAGCTTGTGATGGTGGTGGGCGAGGTGAGCTCACCTCATGCACATTCGCTCCCAACCTCACTCGTCATCCGCTCTATCCGCTCTACTCTCTTGGCCTCTTACCGTCCTCTCCTCTCCTCTTCGCATGTGGCTGCCGGCAAGTCATCTCTGCGTGCCAGGGACTAGGGGGAAGGGAATCAGTCAGGCGAGAGGAGGCGCTTCTGAAAAGCACCTTGGCGCCTCTCCTCTACCTCCCATTCCCCCTCACATCCTCCCCACCTCCTCCCGCGTGGCCAGGTAGGGGCGGGCAAGTCGTCACTGCTGGCGGGGCTGCTGGGGGAAATTACTCGCGTGGCGGGCAGTGTGTCCGTGGCAGGCCGCGTGGCGTACACCAGCCAGGTGAGGTCATGTCGTGACACGTGTGCATGGTGATGTGGTGACATGTGTGCATGGTGATGTGGTGACACGTGTGCATGGTGATGTGGTGACACGTGTGCATGGTGATGTGGTGACATGCATGCGCATGGTGATGTGGTGACATGCGAGTTTTACCGCATGCTGCATAGCAGGCTGGTGAGACAAAAGGTAGTTTTTTCGCAGCAGGCTATGGCAGACTCTGTGCCAGCCTCATCGCCACGTGCACCCGCCTCATCGCCACGTGCACCCTCCTCATCGCCACGTGCACCCGCCTCATCGCCACGTGCACCCGCCTCATCGCCACGTGCACCCGCCTCATCGCCACGTGCACCCGCCTCATCGCCACGTGCACCCTCCTCATCGCCACGTGCACCCGCCTCATCGCCACGTGCACCCGCCTCATCGCCACGTGCACCCGCCTCATCGCCACGTGCACCCGCCTCATCGCCACGTGCACCCGCCTCATCGCCACGTGCACCCGCCTCATCGCCACGTGCACCCGCCTCATCGCCACGTGCACCCGCCTCATCGCCACGTGCACCCGCCTCATCGCCACGTGCACCCTCCTCATCGCCACGTGCACCCGCCTCATCGCCACGTGCACCCGCCTCATCGCCACGTGCACCCGCCTCATCGCCACGTGCACCCTCCTCATCGCCACGTGCACCCGCCTCATCGCCACGTGCACCCGCCTCATCGCCACGTGCACCCGCCTCATCGCCACGTGCACCCGCCTCATCGCCACGTGCACCCGCCTCATCGCCACGTGCACCCGCCTCATCGCCACGTGCACCCGCCTCATCGCCACGTGCACCCTCCTCATCGCCACGTGCACCCTCCTCATCGCCACGTGCACCCTCCTCATCGCCACGTGCACCCACCTCATCGCCACGTGCACCCGCCTCATCGCCACGTGCACCCGCCTCATCGCCACGTGCACCCGCCTCATCGCCACGTGCACCCGCCTCATCGCCACGTGCACCCTCCTCATCGCCACGTGCACCCTCCTCATCGCCACGTGCACCCTCCTCATCGCCACGTGCACCCTCCTCACCACTCTGCATGCTGTGATGGCGCCACGCCATGACAGGACCGATGGATTCGACGCTTCCACCGCTCTACCATCCGCCACCCATCCCTCATGCATGGCAGGACCCCTGGATTCTCAATGCCACGGTGCGCGACAACATCCTCATGGGGGCGGCGGGCGACACAGCCGCCGCAGTGGACGAGGGGTGGTACCAGCGAGCCATAGACGTGTGTGCGCTGAGGCACGACCTCGCCATGCTGGCCGGCGGTGACCTGGCTGAGATCGGCGAGCGCGGTGCGTGTGTGTGTTGTTTCACATGAATTGCTCTGAGTCATGTCGAGCCGGGCCAACAAAAGCATGTTGACTCCGAAGCAGCAAATGAGTGTCGGCTGTTATGATGCGTATAATATAGTATTCGTGCGGCATCTTTCAGTAAATCCTCTCTCTTTCTGCTTCCCTCTCTCCCCTAGTAAACCCTCTCCCCCCTGTTACACTGAAGCTTGCTAGGGTAAAGTGCTGAGTTGCACACCGTTGGGTCCAGCATTTCTTAAATGGTAGCCGCTTAGTCAGTCCATATATTCTTGAAGTTCCCAACGTTTCTTCTCCGCGTTGCTCTGCCTTTCCATGCTTCGATTTCCTCGCGATGCTCCTGACTTCACTTGGGCCACCAGCAGTTGCGATTCCTCCCCCCTCCACTGCTACCTCCCCCCTCCACTGCTACCTCCCCCCTCCACTGCTACCTCCCCCCTCCACTGCTACCTCCCCCCTCCACTGCTACCTCCCCCCTCCACTGCTACCTCCCCCCTCCACTGCTACCTCCCCCCTCCACTGCTACCTCCCCCCTCCACTGCTACCTCCCCCCTCCACTGCTACCTCCCCCCTCCACTGCTACCTCCCCCCTCCACTGCTACCTCCCCCCTCCACTGCTACCTCCCCCCTCCACTGCTACCTCCCCCCTCCACTGCTACCTCCCCCCTCCACTGCTACCTCCCCACTCCACTGCTACCTCCCCCCTCCACTGCTACCTCCCCCCTCCACTGCTACCTCCCCCCTCCACTGCTACCTCCCCCCTCCACTGCTACCTCCCCCCTCCACTGCTACCTCCCCCCTCCACTGCTACCTCCCCCCTCCACTGCTACCTCCCCCCTCCACTGCTACCTCCCCCCTCCACTGCTACCTCCCCCCTCCACTGCTACCTCCCCCCTCCACTGCTACCTCCCCCCTCCACTGCTACCTCCCCCCTCCACTGCTACCTCCCCTCTCCACTGCTACCTCCCCTCTCCACTGCTACCTCCCCTCTCCACTGCTACCTCCCTGCAACGCCATCTCGTCCACCCCCCCCGCCCGTCCACCCACCAGGCATCAACCTGTCGGGGGGGCAGAAGCACCGAGTGGCGCTGGCGAGGGCGGTGTATGCGCGGGCCGATGTGGTGCTGCTGGACGACCCGCTCAGTGCTGTTGACACTCATGTGGGTGCGTGCAGGGCAATGAGCAATGAGCATGACATCTGAGTGGGCGTGGGTGCATGGCACGTGGTCGGTTGCGTGCGGCGCATTGTATGTCATGGCACGATCGTGCTGAATGCATTGTCGCACGAGCACAGTGCTAAATGCATGCACGGTGCGCGCATGGGAACGAGCATGTGGGTCACATTAAGCACTGATTTAGTATTCAGTGCGGTCTCTTGAGAGAAACATATCACTGCACACATGCCTTCTTTACTCCAACTGCCACGTGTGCTGTACTCCATCCTCCTCTCGCAGGCCGCCACCTGTTCACAGAGTGTATCTGCGGTGAGCTGGCGGGGACCACGCGTGTGCTGGTGACACATCAGCTGCAGTATGCATCGCATGCTGACGTCATCATCGTCATCAGAGCCGGCCGTGTGACTGCCATGGGCACATTTGACGAGCTGCAGGCCAGGTGAGCTGCAGGCCAGGTGAGCTGCAGGCCAGGTGAGCTCTCAGGCGAGCACTAGGCTCGACCCGGAACAGCGGCAGCAGCGGCTAGCAGCAGTGGGAGCAGGGGTATTGCACATCGTGTATGCGACCTGTCCGGTGCATGCATGTGAGACAGGCATGTGAGACAGGCATGTGAGACAGGCATGTGAGACAGGCATGTGAGACGGGCATGTGAGACGGGCATGTGAGACAGGCATGTGAGACAGGCATGTGAGACAGGCATGTGAGACAGGCATGTGAGACAGGCATGTGAGACAGGCATGTGAGACAGGCATGTGAGACAGGCAGGAGAGGTCGTCGAGGTTTTCGGCGTTTGTGGATGCCACCATGCCAAGAGAAGCTGCTGCTCTGCGCCGAATTGCTTCGGCAAAGTCTGTGGCGGCGAGCGAGGGATGAGAGGGGCGAAAAAGGGAAGGAGTGGCATGCCCCCTACATTGGCTTTCAGCTAGATTTATTACATGCTAGCTTGGTTTTGCTTGTGCTAAACCCATTTTGTTGGAATAACCGAAGTTTATGATAAACATTCCCGAAGGTTCTCACTTAGCGCATCGCTTCTTAACGAAGGATCGCACCTGTATCACTATCGCGTTAAGCCCGTATAGAGCACGCGGCATCTCGAGAGTCATTCGAGGGTCAACAGTCGCAATTAGTGAGCGGTCGTGCCTGTTGACCGCCCAGTAACTGAACTCGGAGGTTACACGATGCAACATGGTAATTGTTGAGTAGAGGAATAGTCGCAGTTACTGTAGCAATGCAATACAATGAATAAGGGAATGTACCCGTCAGAGTACATGGCTAGCTAGATTGCTATTTATGTCCTTGTACTCCTATCTTAAAATTATCTTGTTCTCATTCAACTATGATTAATAAGGCCATTACAAGACTTCATTGTCTTCTTGCAGCTTAGCATTTCTTGCCCTGTCCACTGCGATCCCCGGTTATATCAACATGGTTTGAGAGCTATCTTGGACTATAAGATCTGCCAAGTCCTGTTCTTGCTAGAACAAACTCCTTAGAAACCTTTTCATTAAAGTACCTGTTACAAGTCTGCATCACTATGGCTCCTGAAAGGAAAGCTACTGCAGACTCTCCGGGCCCACCACCACCAGCAACGACTAATGCGCCATCAGCGGTGACCTCCGTCAGCGCCGCCATCGTTGAACAGCTCATTGCCCGCATCAACGCTCTTGAGAGCCATCAGGCAATGAGCATCGATGGCTCAAGCTACGCAAGAGGAGTTGCTGGACTACCTCTCCCGGGAGAAGACCGCAGCATCAACTCCGAGAGATCATTTACGTTTGACAACCGTCAAGCTTAAGCACCTGCGCACGACAGTCAACAATGCGCACAAACAGAGGCAGTCACAACTATGCAAACAAAGTTTGTTCTGACCTTAAAGCTGAAGACTTCGATTCAATTCGACGGCAAGGATTTCTATGCGTGGAGCTTTGAGTTTGAACTCCTCGCAACAACCGCACAGATCTGGATGTACTACGACAGGAGCTTACCTTCTCAGTCGGAAGGAACCATCCAGGAGAAGAATCAGTACCACCACGAGTCCCTCCTCGCATACACAGCTCTTCTCCAAAATCTCTCCCCCGTCGAGCAACTCGGCATTCGCTCTTACAAATCGGAGTGGGCACCCGCGCAAGTATCCTGGGAGCACCTGCACAATTCATACATGGCAACGGATCCAGTTACCATGAGTCAAAGGGAGAAAGCGGGACCGTATATCAATTGGTGTCACAATTTGTGCGACCACATCACGAACTGCGGCGGAACCGTCCCTGGTGACATGTTTGTCTCGATGGATTTCTCTGGACTAGGGCCTGATTGGCATCAATGCCAGTCGTTGCTCCGCGCACGAGCAACCTGTCAGAATGTTATCATTGTCTAGTCTGCAGTGGGGTACTCTATAGTGAGTACAACCCTGGTACTCTAGTCGCCCGTCGAGCCGCCCTCGGGGGCCCGTGCGCGGCCCCCATCCCGTCACCCGCCGTGGCGCCCTCGAGGGGCCCGCGCCCTGCTCCTTCGTGGCGCCTACGAGACCCCCCCGCCGCCTCCCTTTCTCTCCGTGAACCTCCCCTGCTGCTTCCCGCGCTCCTGCCTGCGTTAGGGTTTGGGGGTGGCGGGCATGGGGGTGACCGGTGTGGGTAGCCTGCAGCTCCTCCTCCTCCTCCGTCTCCCACTGCTGTAGCTGTCGCTGAGGGGGGTGGGTGTGTGGGAGCCGGGGGTTTAGGGTTTAAGGGGGGTGACGTGGGAGTGGAGCTAGGGGTACAGCAAGGGGTGTGTGAAAGGGGGGTGGGACAGTTGGGGGAGGTTGAGCGGAGGCTGCCGTCTTGTCGTCCGCAGCACCTGTAGTCCGGGGCGCTGTCCTGGTAGCCCAGAGAGCCTGCTCTGCCTGTCGCCCGTGGGTCCGTTGCTCTTGCCGCTCCTCGTAGCTGCCGAGCCAGTTACTCTAGTAGTCCGGGGCGCTGTCCTGGTAGCCACTGTGTGCGCGCTCCTGTTGCCCGTGTGTCTGCAGCTTCAGCCGTCGCCTCCCATCTCCTCTCTCACAGTCCAGCCTCCTCCTCCTCACGTACCCATTGTGAATGCCTCTAGCTTTGCTTGTCCTTGTGAACCTGCTCTATGACTGCTTGCTGTGCTGATTATACCCCACTTTGACTATGGGGGTGTGTCAGAATGTTATCATTGTCTAGTCTGCAGTGGGGTACTCTATAGTGAGTACAACCCAAATTAGGGTTTGCTATATGTACTGCCCTGCTTACTAGTGAAGCCCTCCTTTTTGCTTCTAACTTTCTGCTACTATTTTTGACACAACCATCTCCAAGTCCGCTCTTTGCGCCACACTCCTCTCAGAGCAAAAGGAGATCAACCTGTACAATGAGAAGAATGACAAGCGAGAGAAAATAGTGTTCTTCGCTGGAGGAACTGAAAGGGAGTCACAAGAGAAGAAAGGGTTTTTCTGCAAGTACTGTAAGAATCCAGGTCACACCATGGACCGATGCTACAAGCGCAAAACTACTAACGAAAGACGAAGCAACAACTCACCCGGTCAACAACCCCCAGTGCCTTTCTCAGCTCCAGCCGCGACGGCACAATGTCGCCGCCCTCCGTCGCAAGCACTTCGCAAACTCATGCACGAATTTCATCCAAGGACAAGGGAAAGGGGTCAGCCTTGAGCTGCATGGCGCGTTGCAGAGGCACTCGCTACTACGGCGGAACTAAGTTTCCGCCAATCGCTCTAACCGACCCAATTACACCAAGCCCCAACAACGACCCTACAATCATTCCTTGGATTGACAGGCCGACCAACATCCCACCTGACTTCGAGCTGCCTCCGAGCACACCGGAGTCTCCTCCCAGCTTCCCCGCAAAGCACGGGAATGATCTCTCGCCTTTTTACGTTGATGTTGACCGCATCGTCATGTAAGAATATATCTGTAACTGCCTGTAGCTGTAGTTAGTGTAGTTATTATAAACTTGTTGGTGGTGCACCTTCTTTGCATGCTTTGTTTGCTATTTGTACCTCGCTCAATAGTGAACTCACCCCTCTTTGCCTAAACTCTCTCGACTCCCTTTGGCCTAGGCTACTAAGCCTAGGCCCTACTCTTACTATCTCAACATGGTATTCAGAGCAGGCACTTTCCTGCTGCCTTCCTTAATGGGCCCATCAGACTGCTTCCGCTGCCTGTCATCCTGTCGCGCGCCTCGGGCGTGCGGCGTATTTTCTGCCCGCCGTGTGCTCGTTGCGCACGGCGGTTTTCTGCCCGCCGTGCGCAACGGGCGCGCGGCGTCTTCCTGCCCTGCGCGCGGCCTGCCCTCACGCCGCCTGCGCGCCTGCCCCGTCACGACGCCCTGGGGAGCCGCTCGCGGCCCCCCGCTACCCCGTCACCGTGCCCTGGGGAACCGCGCGCGGCCCCCGCTGACTCGTCGCGACGCCCCTGCGGGACCCGCGCGGCGTCGCCCTTGCTCGTCGCGGCGCCCCCTGGACGCCGCACCTGCTCGTCGAGGCGCCCCTGGGGCGTCGCCCCAGCTCGTCGCGGCGCCCCCTGGGTGCCGTCCCTGCTCGTCGCGGCGCCCCCCCCCCTGGCCGCCGCCTCTGCCTCACCTGCGCCCGCGGCTGCTTTGCAGCCGCGCGCGGGCCTGCCCTGTACCAGCGACGCCGCCCCTGGAGCAGCCGCCCCTGGACCCAGTGCAGCCGCCCCTGGAGCAGCCGCCCCTGGTGCAGCCGCCCCTGGCCCCTGGAGCAGCCGCCCCTGGTGCAGCCGCCCCTGGACCAAAGCAGCCGCCCCTGGTGCAGCCGCCCCTGGATCCCGCGACGCCGCCCCTCGACCCAGCGACGCCGCCCCTGGAGCAGCCGCCCCTGGACCCAGTGCAGCCGCCCCTGGAGCAGCCGCCTCTGGTGCAGCCGCCCCTGGACCAGAGCAGCCGCCCCTGGACCCGGTGCAGCCGCCCCTGGCCTCTGGAGCAGCCGCCCCTGCAGCAGCCGCCCCTGGCCCCTGGAGCAGCCGCCCCTGCAGCTGCCGCCCCTGGCCCCTGGAGCAGCCGCCCCTGCAGCAGCCGCCCCTGGCCCCTGGAGCAGCCGCCCCTGGTGCAGCCGCCACTGCAGCAGCCGCCCCTGGCCTCTGGAGCAGCCGCCCCTGCAGCAGCCGCCCCTGGCCCCTGGAGCAGCCGCCCCTCCAGCAGCCGCCCCTGGCCCCTGGAGCAGCCGCCCCTGCAGCAGCCGCCCCTGGCCCCTGGAGCAGCCACCCCTGGTGCAGCCGCCACTGCAGCAGCCGCCCCTGGCCTCTGGAGCAGCTGCCCCTGCAGCAGCCGCCCCTGCCCCCTGGAGCAGCCGCCACTGCAACGGCAGCCCTTGGCCCCTGGACCAGCCGCCCCTGCAGCAGCCGCCCTCGTGCGCTCTGCTCTGCCCGCGCCCTCGTGCGCTCTGTCTCACCCGCGCCCTCGTGCGCTCTGCCCTGTTGCCGCCCGTTGCTGCCCGTGCCTGTGCTGCCCGTTGCCGCCCGTTGCTGCCCGTGCCTGTGTTGCCCGTTGCCGCCCGTTGCTGCCCGTGCCTGTGCTGCCCGTTGCCGCCCGTTGCTGCCTGTGCCTGTGCTGCCCGTTGCCGCCCGTTGCTGCCTGTGCCTGTGCTGCCTGTTGCCGCCCGTTGCTGCCCGTGCCTGTGCTGCCCGTTGCCGCCCGTTGCTGCCCGTGCCTGTGCTGCCCGTTGCCGCCTGTTGCTGCCCGTGCCTGTGCTGCCCGTTGCCGCCCGTTGCTGCCTGTGCCTGTGCTGCCCGTTGCCGCCTGTTGCTGCCCGTGCCTGTGCTGCCCGTTGCCGCCCGTTGCTGCCTGTGCCTATGCTGCCTGTTGCCGCCTGTTGCTGCCCGTGCCTGTGCTGCCCGTTGCCGCCCGTTGCTGCCCGTGCCTGTGCTGCCCGTTGCCGCCCGTTGCTGCCCGTGCCTGTGCTGCCCGTTGCCGCCCGTTGCTGCCTGTGCCTGTGCTGCCTGTTGTCGCCCGTTGCTGCCCGTGCCTGTGCTGCCCGTTGCCGCCCGTTGCTGCCTGTGCCTGTGCTGCCTGTTGCCGCCTGTTGCTGCCCATGCCTGTGCTGCCCGTTGCCGCCCGTTGCTGCCCGTGCCTGTGCTGCCCGTTGCCGCCCGTTGCTGCCCGTGCCTGTGCTGCCCGTTGCCGCCCGTTGCTGCCCGTGCCTGTGCTGCCCGTTGCTGCCCGTGCCTGTGCTGCCCGTTGCCGCCCGTTGCTGCCCGTGCCTGTGCTGCCCGTTGCCGCCCGTTGCTGCCCGTGCCTGTGCTGCCTGTTGCTGCCCGTGCCTGGGGGTGATGGGTGGTGTGTTTCCCTTCCCCTCCTCCTCCTTTCGTTCCCACTGCTGCAGCTGCCGCTGGGGGGAGGGTGTGAGGGTGTGGGGGAGCCAGGGGAGTGGCATTGGGGTGGCGGGTGTGAGACCATCCAGCCCCCGTCCCTCTGAGGTGGGGGGGGGGGGGGGAAGGAGAGTAAAGGGGTGGCAGGAGTGCCTGCCCCTTTGCTGCTGTACCTGCTTTGTTACCTTGCCTGCTGTTGCTGTTTTCTCTGTTCGTGGTGTACCCATCCAGGATGTGTCGCTGCACAGACTCCTGCTGCAGGCAGTTATGGGGGAGTGTTAGAATATATCTGTAACTGCCTGTAGCTGTAGTTAGTGTAGTTATTATAAACTTGTTGGTGGTGCACCTTCTTTGCATGCTTTGTTTGCTATTTGTACCTCGCTCAATAGTGAACTCACCCCTCTTTGCCTAAACTCTCTCGACTCCCTTTGGCCTAGGCTACTAAGCCTAGGCCCTACTCTTACTATCTCAACACGTCACCCCAAATATCACCAGCATCGCACAACGAAGTCGCAATAACTTCAACACCTGGTATCTTGACAGTTGCTGCGGGCAACACATGGTGGGATTACCGATATTTATTAGTAACTCAAAATGCATACGACAACCGTGCAAAATCACCGTCGCAAACAACAACCGACACCCACTTCACCATCCACATCGGAGTCGTTCTAGTCGTCGCCGATATCCAATTCAATCTCCTCTCTGCAGCACAGCTCATGAAGAGTGGAGTGGATATCCTAAGCAACTATTGTACAAGAAATCTTACATCGGGAAAAGAAGTCAGGGAAGACGGAGTCTTCGTATTAAACTTCACGTCGCAAGGAAATACGGGCGACTCCGAGCGAACTCTTCTGCTAAAGACAACACCCATGGAGACGTCGACGTGGTCGCACCCTGAGGAGATGGACCTCGAAAGACCCGCTTCACATGGACTTCTTCGTATGCGCGCCGTCCCAACTGCTTCGACCTCCACTCCCGGAGATACCGGACCTGCAACCATGGAACAAGAAGAAGACAGAGGAGGGTCAGCAACTGCAGGACAAGCTGACACTGGAGGATGGGGAGTAACAGGACCAGCTTCATCTAGCTGGGCCAACCCCGGTGCCACAGTCGGCGCGTGGGGAGTGGTAACACCAGCAGCAGGAGTTCCCCCTGGAGGCGGTTGGGGAACGTTAGCACCTCAAGGAGGTTGGGGACCACAAAGCCCTCCTTATCCCGAAGCTCCAGCCCTTCCTCCTGCAGCCGTGGCGGAAAAAGATCCGTACTGGGCAACACGCGGCACCAGCTGGGGCGGACCTCCTCTTCCAGATCAGTATTCGTATGAACCTGCGGAGGAAGAACAAGAGGAGTCAGAGGGAATGCTCTACGATTTCGGTGAAGCATCGAAGCTACCCGAACCTACCAAAGAAGCACCACCACTGGAACAAGGACCTCAACTAGTCCCAGTCGCCAGAGATGAGTACCTCTATTATCGCGTTCCGATGGAGGGACTCGTGACTTCCGAGTGGCCTGAGGCTGCGCGACTCCCGACGCATCTCATAACCGGTGACTCGGTTGACGCCACTGACACGGACGACATCGCCGGAATTCCCGACGCTGTCCTGGAACGAGCCTCTGCCCAAGCCTTCGTAGCAGATGTAAAAGCCGCCACCAACAAAGGACCTGAAAAGGAGCAGCAAGACGAAGCAGAGAGAAATATGTACTACAAGAAAACAATCGGCTATCGCGCTGAACCGGAGATTTGGCATTAGCGGCTCGGACATCCCTCGCACGTCACACTCAAAACTTCCATCGAAGCCAAAGTCTTCGATTCGGAAGGACTACTTCTGCCCGGCGACGATGTACTTAAGGTAACTTCAAATGACCCACCGTGCCTCATCTGCCCCACCGCATCACTCGCTCACAAGCCTTTCCCCGACTTACCTCCTGGCTACGAATGCTAAGAACCACTTGAGAAAGTCTACAACGACTTCATGATGACAAGGGCAAAGTCAAACTCACGTATTGCCCAACTGGTGATATGACAGCTGATTTCTTAACAAAGAGACTACCACGTCAGAAGTTCCAGCACTGCGCCGACCTCTGCGGGATCTTGAAGAAATCCCACGTGGCTCACCTTCAGGAATGAAGGGGAGTGTTGGAATAAGCGAAGGTTATGATAAACATTCCTGAAGGTTCTCACTTAGCACATCGTCTCATAGCGAAGGATCGCACCTATACCACTATCGCGATAAACTCGTATAGAGCACGCGGCAACTCGAGAGTCACTCGAAGGTCAACGGTCGCAGTTAGTCAAAGGTTGTGACTGTTGACCGCCCAGTAACCGAACCCGGAGGTTACACGATGCAACATGGTAACTGTCGAGTAGAGCAATAGTCGCAGTTACTGTAGCAATGCAATACGGTTAATAAGGGAATGTACCCCTCAGAGTACATGGGTAGCTAGATTGCTATTTATAACCTTGTACTCTTATCTTACAGTTGTCTTGTTCCCATTCAACTATTATTAACAAGGTCACTACAAGACTTCTTTGTCTTCACTGCGATCCCCGACTATATCAACACATATGAAACGAGACAATGTCATTGTTACATACAATAAAACAGGCTTTTTCAGTACAAATAATTGGTCTGATAGTCTTCGATTCGCAACCCAAGTCACCCTGTTCCGCACCTCACCCCCCCCTTCCTCCGCACCTCTATGCACTCTCCTCCCCGCCTCAATCCTCCCCCGCTCCCTTACCCCGTGCGTAAATGCAACTCGCCTCACTCCAGTCCTCTATTCGCGATCGGACTAGACATGGTGTTCGAAGGGTTACGATATACATGTCGGAGGATTACAGTATACGCGTTACGGTGGGGCTGTGGCCCGTGGGACCATTTGCAAAGCAACCTCGTCCAGGATTTCCAAACCTATCATAAAAAGCAATATTACACTGCTTTCTAGTGTAGGCTCTCAGATTCAGATTCAGTTTTATATATATATATTTCAAAGAGGCTGATTGTTCAGTGTTCCTCAAAAGAAAAGACTAATTTATACAGTGACATTTTGAATAACAGCACAATGCTTATGAGATATGCCAGCAGAGGGCCTCAAACCATGAATCTTCCCCTTCGGCAGTGATTTTCTAACAACTGAGTCAATTCACGCTGTCGAACCCTGATTATTTTTCTAACCTCCAAATTCCTACACAATGATGGTACTGCGAAAATTTAAGATTTCCGGAAAGATGGGGAATGTGCTTTCAGTGTACATTTTCAATAAAAGGATAAAAATTCAATCCTCTTAGAGTAAAAAAAGGCAGAAATTTCAGGGTTACAAAAAGAAGGGCTGAAAATCAGTCAAATCATCGTAAAAAGGCCGACATCTGAGGGCCTGTCCTAGAGCATCTGGTATCACTTGTAAAGAAACAACTTTTCCTTACATCGCGTCACACCACATACTACGTACAGGACTATTCCCGCCACTACACACCCAATGTTACCACCTCATGACACTCGCCTCGACAATATTCCCACCACCACGAACTCTTGCGCCCAAACCACCCAGCTCAGCAAGAAACCCGCGACCCTGACCTACGCCTCGACATATTCCCACCTCGCCATCAGGCCTGTAGGGCACCCTCTTTTGAGTGCGTTACCATTGCCGAAGTGCTTTTGCTATATAACAATTCGCTCATTCCTTCGCTCATTGAATTGTTTGCCTTGATAGTGCAATTTTCGCTCGATCACATTTTTGCACACGTAACACTTGGTATTCAGTGCCACGACCACCCTTTTTTTCGGACCGCGCACACCTTCGACTCCCAATCGGAAAACAAAAATTGTGGGGTGGGGGGGGGGGGGGGTTTGGATGTCCCTTAGCGCCCAGTGCCGCTGCTCGCATGCTCTCTTGTAAGCGCACGCAGCCACGACCGAGACTATCGCGGAGCTGGCTTGATGGCCTGCCATGGACGAACGCATTCTTCTCAAAGGCATGTCTTAAGAGCGCCTTGGCAAGATTTCTCGCCTATTATATGAATCCACGCTCAATATCGCCACATTAAGGTGGAGCGTGATTAAAAACAACAGTCAATGTTAAACGCTCATGCACAAGCATCAGCACAAGCCCCAACCGAAACGCCTATCACCATCACCTTGGATGCGGAGAGTCACTCTACAACGGGAGTGGACTACGGAGGAGGGCACACGGTTTTGCGGGTAAAATAGAGAGTTCTACTAACGTTCTCACTACTTGCTGTATTCACGGAGAAATTTGGCAAGAGTTTCACTAAGAAATCGCGAAGATCATTAGATTACAATGAGGCATACAGGTTGATATAGCAAGGAAGTTTTCACAATATCTAGCAAGCATTGTGCAAGACAAACTGCCAGCGCAGCAGCGCAATGTCTTGCCAATGCTGAAGCAGGGCGGCATGCCAGCGCTGCGCTCGCAGGTGAATATGTGCGCACATGTGCGCACCTACCAAGTAGGTGCAGGTCGACAGTTGCACAGTCAGGCACATTGCGCAGGTGCCAGGTAGAGAACGTGTCGACGGTTTTGCCAGATGCCCATAGTATAGCACGTGATGTCGTTCCGAAGGTCGGCTTTCGCTAAAACCTCCTGGGCAAAATTTGCACACCCCCACAGCGTTTTGCAGTCGTGTCATTTCGACCGACCAGTTCGCCGAGACAAGGCTCGCCAAACAGCACCCATCGATCAGAGGGCGAGCTCGTCGAAAAGCACCCCGTCGATCAGAGTTCGTCGACAGGCTGGCCGATCAGAGGACGAGCTCGTCAAATACCATCCGTCGATCAGAGGACGGGCTGGTCGACAATATCTGTCATCTAAGCCCGAGAACCAGTTCGATGACCACTTCGTCGAATTCACCATGTCGCCGTAGAGAACACATGTGCCCAAGCAAGGGCGGGGCTTTTAAACTTATATGTTGCTCATTGTGCAGGCTGTAGTGGGGTAGCCCATATGGGGTACAACCCAATTAGGGTTAGCACTCGTACCCATCCTACTGTTAGTCATTTCATTCCTTGTTCATTCTTCTGACATGGGCCTGTCACTTTAACATCAGGGACGCCATCCGTATCACGA